CATGCCATCTTTATAACTTGTTTGCTAGTTACTATCGGCGCAGGTTCGCAGGAATTTTCCAACAAGGCTTCATCAACCAGGTAGCTAGCCTATTTGTACAGTGCAGCAATTTTGAGGACCCTGGTTGTGTGTTTAACTTCCCGTCAAAGTTTGGACCGGCCCGCAAGGAACGAGATGCTCTATCCGCAGACCCTCCAACGGCCACGGTGAGGCCCACAAGCATGAAGGCTTGGAGCCACCAACACGGCCACAGTGATGAAGGTTCGAGGTACCAAACTCAATTTTGGCCATAAGATGGGAAAAAGGTTCTTCAGCCAGACTAGGCTAGATCATCTAAAACGTTGCTTTATGGACACACCATACTCGTGACGGTCGACGGCGGACAGAAGTTTCGACCGGTCAGATTCATCGATATGGTGAATTACGCAGTGGTGAATGGTCAACATGGAGTCTATCAAGTTGTGGCTGATCTGTGACATTCAACGTCGGCCGCGGATTGTGGTCTAGGTGAACGAGGTATCCAGTCAGGAATGCTACGGCACTCGTTTTTAAGCTGGTGACATGCCTGGTCTAAAGTAAATGTTGATAGACATGAATATGTCAACAGAGTTGAATGAATCTTGAACTTAGTTGCATTGGAGTTTACGACTACCACGCTGGCTGCCGATCAAAATGTCCTATCTCATGGTCGTCCCGTGAATTGATCAGCTTGCGGAAGCCTCGGCATTCTGAGTAAAGGTCAAAGCAAACCAGATCGATAAAGCATTAGGGTAGGCTAGTAGAAACATGATCTCCATGCCAACCAGAGCAGGGATATTGACGAGCTGAACAAGCTTGTAGACAAAGCGTAGGCATTGAGAAGGATGTTGGCCAAGATAATTTGTTCCATAATTAGCCCGGATGGATGAACGTTTTGGCCGCATATGACCATTGTCATGAGCTAAATTATGCCGGTATGGGCAAGAGAATGCGGGCAAAATTAAAAATAGATGCTTGTTAAGATTGGGATGTGACGAGATGTGATGGGATCTGTTAGCGCTCAGGTGGTGTTGAACATGTTGAGCCAAACATGTTTAAGCGCCAGACAGACGAGAGTCTAACAAATTAGCCCGATTTCCATGATCGAAAGAGAAAAGTGAGGGGCTAAATGTTTAAAATAGGAAATGCGTAGGATCGTAGGACGAAGGGAGACAAGGGCCAAAGTTTCCGGCCTAGATGGACCTAGGGTATCCGTAAATTGAAGCTGACTTACTGAGTGTAGGGATCAGGGTTGATGCGGCACGAACAGACGAGAAAAGACGATGAACAACCGGAGGCGGCCGGTAGTGTTAAAAGCGTAGCGAGCGGGGAAACAATGACTCGCATTGGCGGGAGGCTAATATATCAATGACTTGACTAAACTGGACTGGGAGTGGAAACTGATGTCTTGACAGGCGATAGTTAGCATCGTTAGATGAACTTGTTAGTGTGTTGAGTCAGGGCTAAGAGACGATCTTTTTCGTGGACGAGTCGGTCCTTTCCACACAAAGACAATTGCTTCAATTCATGAGGGTGATGTTGCAGCCCATAATTGAGTTGAGATAACTAACATCGGGAGCAGAGGAGAGGCCAGATGACAGTCAAAGTCAACAGTCAAGATAGGCTAATGTATCCTGGTAGGTACTAAAGGATAATCCTGCTCTATTCCGCATGCCTGTCCAATCTATAATTTGGTGGTGTAGGGGAGAGCCGACTTGGTTGGCAGATTTGACGATGAAGAACAGAGGCGCTAGCTCGAGTTGGACAGCGGAATTAATTATGTGATCTGACTGTTGGTTCCTGTTATGTACGGATAGATGCTGGTATGTACAGTAATGGGCCACCGGGAAACGATCTCCACAAAGACAAAGAACAGTGATATTCAAGAGAATGTCAGTGTTTGACCAACCTTCTCGTTCTTGCTCCTGCTCTTGACGTCTCAACAAACTTCTCATAGGATCAATCTCTGGCCAAAGCATCATGCAATGCTCTCTTGGTTCAGCGGCCCGTTATTGCCCGTTATGGCCCGCTTATCACATCATATCTCGACTTCTGCAAGGCTCAAGCTTCCCCGCTCGGCTCGGTGTTTTGCTGATCACCTCGAGGCTCAAGGACAAGGCTCTTGAACTAGGGTAGCCCCTGGAACGATGCTAGAACAAGACGGCCGAGATTATCGTCTTCTGACTTCTGATTTGCTGAAACTCCAAAGCTCCCCTGTCAAGCCCCCTGCAACTCGGGGCCAATCCAGATCTGAGGCCGGGGTGAGGAGGCAAGGGTGCTAACATGCTTCCAGCTTAGGGCATCTGCCTACCCCTGCTCCGCGGCAGACGCTCCTCATCGGTTGGTCCCGTCCCTTAAAGCACTAATGCACGTGTGTCACGTCCACTGTCGAATCACGGACCAGAGACGCTCTTTTTCCAACGACACTACATGGTTCAGCAGACCGATCTTTTCCCACCAAGACCATGAAAGTCGAAGTCACTGCGAGCTTTTTACCTTTACCTGGCGCCAGCAGAGACTTTCAGCCACTCGACAGCACGATAATCAATGGATAATAATGCACTGAACCATGCACGGTTCGGGTACATGGGACATGGTAGTCCACTACGGCGCACAGCAGGAGACAGCGTACTGAGTACTGCACTGCATGATTTTCGAAAGTAGGTTCATTTCACCTGTCCGTTCAGCTAAGCTGCTCCTGTACAGTAGCAAATATCTGATGTTGTCTTACTCCAGGTTCATCCATGGATCAACATAGGCCACTTAACAACTGCCTCTGAGCCAAAAACGATAGTATCAAGACATGTCAATGCTCACTACAAACCCATTACTCAACCTTGACTCGTCCACTTCAATGCCTGCAGGGTCCCTTCGACACTCGTGACCCCAAATTGCGGATTGTTCTACTTACGACCCACGACCAAACCCCCGCGCTCTAGACGTCACCGTCTTCAACCCCCGGTCCCCTAGTCCACAGCACATGTACCACCCAACAATGCCGGTATTCTTTCGAACTGGAGACGTGGTGTTGGAAGGAATTTGATACGCTATTATTGGGGCTTCTCGACCCGGCCGCGGGCAGCTACTTGCAGGACCTGCACCCACGAGGTCTTTTGCCGCTTGACCAATCTGATGGTTGACCGCCTCTTCGGCCATTCTATTCGTCAGAAACCATCTAGGTATGTACTCGACAAGGCATTTCGCATTTCGCTACCGTCAGTCTACGTCCGTTGCGACTTAGAGCCCAACAAGTTCTAGCCGATCATGGGCTGTCGTCAAGGTCCAAGCCTTGAAGCGTGATATATGACTCGCAAATCGTGAATTGTTCAACGGCCCATCACTGCACTAGGTGAGGCTGTTTAATGAACCCATCTCAGATGCGACCGAATAGAGTTTGCAGACCAGCACAGTACACGGCTCTGGGACTCGAGCATGGAATGACCCTGCCCTACCTGCTGCCAGCCCAGCCTGCTAAGGATAGACCTTGATAAAGGATGTGAACTAGCGATCGTACCCTTGTGCGACCTTTTGGCCTTTCCCCTCTTCCGGTGTACTTGCGCATATGCAGGTGCAATAGTCCGGTGAGCTTCTCTATCAGCATCAGTACGAGCATGAGCATGATAATCATGGTGGGTGTTACTACTTCTTAGTTTAGATACAGATAACTTTCTGGAGCAACCCATACTGGTCACTACACAGATCCACTGCATGGAATCTTGATTCACGCTTGATCCTTCACACACTCTCTCATAAAAGTGCAAGTTCTATATAGCAAACCGGATCTCAACCGTCAACCGTCTCATTTAGGGATACATCGGATGGCAGGCAGTTGGGCCTGACAGGCAAAGTTCAAGTGGAGGGCCTCAAATCATAGAGTCAAAGCTCGCCGCCTCGCATATCCTCCCGTCAAGAGCTAGATCCGAACTGGTTCCAACCCCCCCTCTCGCGAGTTCACCATGCAAGCAGACTGGCTGCTCGCTGTGTCTACGGACGAAGGCAGATGGGCACACCAATGCGCGACTTTCCTCTTTGGACTACGGGACCCCTGCTCGCCCTATCCTGTGGCCCGTCCTGTGCACATCTATTCCTAGAGTGGAGATCTGATGAGCACAGAGAGACTATCTTTTGACCGACTCTCCCCATTGGCTTCTCTAAGCGCAGTCGCTGTCTTTGGTGCCATGGCATGCTCGTCGTGCATGGTTCAAAAATAGAAACACGACGATGGGAAGCCATCATCGAATCGACGTGTGAAGGGCCGCGAGAGAAGCGGCCAAAATATAAGGATTTAGCCCTCCAGCAGCCGCCTTAGAATTTGCCCTCTTTCTTCATCATTACTGTTTGTGTTTGTGTTCAGAGATCCCAAGTGTCGCCAAAGGCTCTCTTGATCCCCCTTCCTCTCTTACCGCCCTCCTCCAAACCCTTCTACTACACTACCCGATCATTTCTTTTACAACATTCAAGTTACAAGCAAGCCGGACTTGCTTTGGACCAGTCAATCTTTACCGCAATTTCCAGCAGTTATTTCGAAACGAACGAACGAAAGGACGATACACTGTTGTTTGACACGTTGGCCTGGCTGCCACTTACACGAACAACACCACAAATCGCTCAGAGATCCATATTGATCCTGACCGATACAATAACACTAATTTAATTTTCGACTTGTTGAAGCGGATTTTACAACTCGGATTCGATATTTCCCCCCCCCCCTGGTCACGTCTGCTCAACGCCCAACCTCTTGGCTTTGATTGATCCTCAGCCCAGCCCACAAGTTACCAGACAGGACAAGCAAAAAGACAAGACATTTCTCCATCCCGTTGTGATCGACTCCACACCGGACTAGACTGGACTAGACATACGTACAGTGCGTTTCTGGTCCCTGATTGCACGGTTCCACTCCCCCCTGGTAGATCACACACCCCTCCTGGTCCCCTGGTCCCCTAGCACCCAATACTCTACAGACCAAGCATCGCAGCCTACAAATGTCTACGCTGCCCCCCGATCATCGAAAAGGCGTGTCGCGAACAACTGGAAACACCGTCAACATGACTGTATCTCAGTCTTCAAAGGCCAAGCCGGCCTCCAAGGTCAGCAATGGCAAGCCAAAGACAAAGACTCAGATGCATCGTCGCTCAAGAACAGGTATGTTTTCACTTACACGCAAAAAAAAACCCCCAATAATCCTTCTGCGATCATAAAGGCTAACCAAAGTTATTACAGGCTGCTATACTTGCCGTTTGCGACGTAAGAAATGCGATGAGGGAACTCCCATGTGCACAGCCTGCAAGCATCTCGGCTTGCAATGCGAGTACAAGCGACCCATGTGGTGGAGCAACAACGACATGCGAAGGAAACACAAGGAAGACATCAAGATGATCATCAAGCGCAAGAAGCTCTCTGAGAAGTCGTCGCACAACATCCAGAACTCTTGCGCCAGCTCTCCTCCTGGCCTCACCCACTCTCTTCCCACATCAGCCACCTTCACTGATCCTCTTGACCGCACAAGATCTGCTTCCATTGACTCTCAATTCCCGGCCGCCTTCAGCTTCAACAGTCCTCCCAGCGCAAACGAGTATGGATTCGGTGCCCCCATGCACCCCGAGTTCATGTTCGGCAGCTACTCGCCATATGAGATTGATGTCAAGACAGAGCGACAAATGTTCGTCAACGATGTGCCTACAGTTCGCGAATCACACATCTCCACCTTTAGCACTTACCACACTCCTCCTCCTGCTGGCACAGTTCTTCCCAATGGCCCTCTGGACGGCGAGTGGGCAGAGCAGGTATTCCAAGAGCGCAAGGAATCGCTCTCAGAAGAGACTCTCAACTGCAACTTCTTCGACTTCTCACATGCTCCCTCAACAGAGTCGAGGCAAGTCCAGATTGAACTTGACGAGAACGATCAGCGTCTGCTGGATCACTTCATCCAATTCGTTCTGCCAACCATCTTCCCCATTCTTGAGTCCAACCAACACTGCTCAGTCAGCTCCGACCTCATCCTTCCTGCTCTTCAATCCAACAGCGCCTACCTTCACTGCTGTCTGAGCGTGGCCGCCCAACACCTCAAGTCGCATGCCTCCTCCTCCACTGAGGATGTTGACAACGACATCATGCGCCACCGTTATGCCACCATCTGGGCTCTCTGCGAGGCGCTCAAGAAGGACGAGAACCACCAGCAGATCCTTGAGGCCACCCTTGGCCTCATCTTCTTCCAGTCCGTCGTCGGCCGATATGACGATGGCCTTCTGGACATTCCTTGGCACCAGCACTTCCAGGCCGCCATCAGCCTGGTGCAGAAGCTTGACCTCCCTGGGATCGTCTGCGATCCTACCAGGGCTTCTATGCAAACTCCCTTCAACATGTCCCTGTCCTCATGGATTGACATTCTCGGTGCCACCATGAAGGGCCGATCACCAACATTTGCCCACACTTACCGCGAGAAGCACCTCTCCCAGCTCAACCCCAGCCTGGGACTACGTGAGCTTATGGGCTGTGACGACCGGGTCATGTACCTTATCTCTGAGATCGCCTGCCTCGAGTCCCTTAAGAAGGACGGCATGGACGACTTCACACTCTGCCAGCACGTGTCTGCCCTTGGCGAGCAGATCAGCTTGACTGAGATGGGAGATGCAGGCCCCAAGATGCCCTTCAATGCCAACGGCAGCCTTTCACCTAAGCAGCTTTCTAAGAACATGACCATGACTTTCCGCATCGCTGCACGCATCTTCCTTTGCAGCCTGGTTCCTGGATTCAACCCCAGACAGCCTTCCCCTATGGGACTTGTTGAGAAGCTCACAACTGTGCTTCAGCACATTCCCTCAGGCCCCAATGGATTCGACCGCAACCTTGCTTGGGTCTACCTCATTGGCGGTTCCATCAGCGTCCCTGGCAGCACATTCCGAGCCTTCTTCGAGGATCGCCTTGCCCAGCTTGGTGACTCGGCCAGATTCGGCACCATGGGACGCCTGGCCACCCTCCTGCACGAGGTGTGGGTTCAGAATGACAGCCTCTCGGGTGTTCACACACCTGGGTCCACGACATCTGAGGCAGCCCCTCTACACATCCACTGGCGGGATGTCATGGAATCGAAGGGATGGGACTTCTTGTTGATCTAATCACTGCTTCCTAACGAACCTTCTTGGCTGGCCTATGAAGGGGAGCAGGAGCGTGGTGGGCGAAACCATTAAGTTCCACTTCAAACTTCTCTTCAATACCATGAGAGCGGCCAGGACCACCTCATAAGGCGAAGCAGGCATTTGCCAGTCGTCGAGGACCAGGATTGGAATTGACACCTCCATGTCCTACATGATGATTTTGTCATTCACTTTTGTCTTGTTCCGAAAGGGCCGAGATACTTTTTTCTTTACTTCTTTATTATTTCACTTCATATACAACGATACCTACTGGGATGGGTTACTAGAGGAAGCCGCAAGGCGATTTGAGATGAATGTGGTCACGAAGAGCGACACTTGGACACACCACACATATCTCGACACATTTGATTACAGTTGACTGGACGAGACGAGGCGTTTGGGGTTTGTATGAAATGATTGGAAGGAGGGGCAGCATGCAGTATGCAGCGGAAAGCATTGAGCATTGAGCATTGGGCAGAGTAGACTCACGACCATATGCAGGAACAAATGGGGCGGCAATAGAATGCCGAGTTATATACTGGTTGATTGGACAGGAGACGGCCGAGTATCGCGAGACTCGGGAATCATTCGCTATTGTTTTTTGTTTGCATTTTACTATGATACCAAGCGGGCAATGGTATGGGTTGGAGGAAACACGGCGCAAGGCATGAAAGATAGGAATCGCTGTGCAGGATTGGGTAGGGATGACGATGATACGAAAAGAGAGGCTCTGGGAAGCTGGATATGGGCTAGCTCCTAGAAAGGATGTGGTGGTATGGTATGATTTGGAAGTCTACAGGATGGTATACAGGATATCTATCACCTTGCCAAGACAAGGTAGACAATGAAGAAAGAAACGAAGCAAACTGTTGTTGCAATTACTGTTACGTTCCATAGGCACATTGTTTGTGATGTTACTCTACGGGGTGCTTGGTTATTCCCTCACTCTGGACTGAAATGATTAGATGAGATTGTACGGAGTATATGGACAATGTAGCATCCATCACACCATATAACTCGGGGACCTTTTTCCCCAATGACCAACTGCAGGTATCTGAAAAGAGATTTTAACCCCGAGAGGCACCACTCGGAAGGGGGGGATTAATGCCTCGGCCTGATTATACAGGAACGAGCATTTCTTCCTCATTAGATGCTTATTCTGTGCTTATTTTCTGGGAAAATCCTTGTCGTCCTGACAGGTCAGATCAGGTCAGGTCAGCACCATCACACCACGAGAGTTCGGGGAAGCATATCGTTTTTGCTTCTACTTCTGCTTCTGCTTCTACTTCTGCGTTTCTGTGGGGGAGGCGTTGGGGAGGGTGTGATTGAGGGTTGCGAGATGCAGAGATGCACTGCACTGCACTGTAAGCTACTGCTGTAGGTACTGCCGGGGTCTCTATTAGTGGTCTGAGGATGTTTGTCTGCAGTAACACATGTGCTGTATAATTGAGGCCATGGTCCCTGTAGCGGATGCAAAAGGCAAGATGCCGAATGTGATGCTATGCCATGCGATGCAAATGCAGACGCGGTACGAGGACAATTCGTTGCGTATATAGTATAGAGCTCGGAAACAGATTCATTATCTATGCCAGCCTATAAACAATCTTCAGAAAAGCCTCGTTATATCTCAAACGTCCCAATGCATGCACCATTTCGAACCTGTTTAAACCTGGGGCACTTATACCGGAGTTGCAGTGCGTCTATGGCGAGGATACAGAGGGGAACCAGCACAGCAGCGCAGCGCAGCGCATCTACAGACCGGAAGCTTTCAGAGCAAAACACGTATTCACAATAATTGCTGCAAACGCGACAGCGTTTCTTTAATTATCAAGGCTTTTTGGACAGTGCGTAGAGCAATTGGCTCTGGGGACTTACACGCCCCCTTCAGGGCTTTCTTGAGTACAGGAGGCAGCTCAACTACAGAAATTGGGTGACCGCAGTAGTGAAGACGTGGACTTTTTGCCTCTACACTAGACTAGACTGATGGGCCGAGGTTTCTGGCCAGGTTGAATTTTGATGCCTGCGTTAGTGAGAGTGAGAAAAAGTGTGTGACTGGACTGGACTGGGCTGGGGTGTGGTATTTGGCGAATACAGGGGGAGGGTTAAAGAGGTGCATATTCGGGTAAATGGGTGGGCATGGGCATGGGGGTTTAGATACGGGCGGATATAGATGAGGAATATTGCAGTGAATATAGGTAGATCTCTCAGGGTTTTGGAGGTTTAGCTTGTGAGAGTTGATGGGTGTTTAGTAATAGGCGAGTGAGTGAGTCATCAAGTGATGATGTACGGACAAAGAATGATAGTTGGACAACGCACTGGTGCTTTGTTGCAACAAGCCTCTGATTCACTGATTGGATTACATGTTCTCAATTTGCCTCTACAAAGTTAACCATGATTGTCCCTCTATCTTCTCATGATACGCCAAACAAGAAAATACAAGACAATCGAAAGAGAGGTAGCCCATAACCAGAGGAAAACAGATGTTGAAGCCTAAATAACTCAACACTTCCAAACCTGGGGTCGTTTTAGTCGCGACCGCTGTTCTCATTGGTTCTGGAAAACTACGCGCCCAACTCCAGCGCTTGGCCACGAAGCTTCAGCGCCTGAGAGCCTGAGACAAGTGTCTCCCCACAACTAAACAATTCACTGGCTTCAGCGACTGCCTCTATACAAGCAGCCAATCAGAAACTTACATCGCCGCGCGCTTAATGGTTTCTGAGACTCCAACCAACCACAGCATCCAACTTGACTCTTCGCACTTAGACCACTGTCTCGACCATGGCTACACTATCGCCAAACATTAGGCCTTTTCCATACTCACCACGTCTACCTAGCACGTATGGATATAGAAGCTCTAGTTCATGTTCTACGGGGGGTCCAGCGCGTGTCCAGCGACAGGCCCTGGACCCTCTCAGCGACTGGCTCTCGGCGTCTGTGTCCAACCGCCCACACAGCCTCTAACGCAACAGTCGAGCCTGATATATCGTCCGCGAATGGGTCGAGATGACTCTCAACGGACGAAGCGGCAGCGGAGATGGCAGATGCAAGTGCAAGTGCAAAAAAAGCCCAAAGCAAAAAAAGAATCGTCCTTGTTTGTGACCTCATGGTTCTATTCTAGGCCTTTGTCTATACCCTTGTTCTCCTTCTTCCGCTCCCCATGTTCTCTCTCTCTCTGTTCTCTGTCTGATATCTACTGCTCTGACTTTTCACTTTACTTCCACTGTTCCACAAACAATCAAACAAGACGCTTGTTCATTTGCTCCATCCATTCATATCATCTTTGTCTCTCACGCTGGTTGTGCCTGACTCAACAAGCCTCACCACCAACTGGACACTCTCTCATATTATAACATCACTTCTATACTCAGAACCCTTCACTCAAGTGAACCAACGAACGATACCAACGCATAGTAAACCCCCAGCAACTAGCAACCAACAACCAACAACCAACAACCAACATTCACACGAAACATAACATACGCCAGACATGCTTTTGGCAAAATTCCCTACACCCTTACGGGTTCTACTCATCACAGCTCTCTGCGCAGCGACAACCTCCGCTCTACCAGCCGCTCATATCTTTGCCCGTGAGGAAACCTGCGATGCGGACCAGACATCATGCAATAGCGACATCGCCAACTTTTGCTGTCCAAAGGGAAACTCGTGTAGGCTCCTCGCTGGACAAACCACTGCAGTGTGCTGTCCCAAGGGCCAGACCTGCAATGTCATCCAACCCATCACCTGCGATATCCGAGGCCAGGACCAAAAAGAGTTCCCCAATGCTCCCGTTAAGACAGTAGTCTTCAACCTCGATCTGCAAAAGTGCGGCAAGAAATGCTGTCCCTTTGGTTACTCCTGCGAAAACGAAGAGTGTGTTATCGACAAGAACCAGTCTGATGTCCCAGAAGGCGCTGAGCTTCCCAACGAGACTTCAACGCCTGTGCCCAGTGCAGTAACTACCGCCACGGGGGCTATCGAGACCATCTCCATCAGCGCTGCACCCTCGACGAGCGCGGAGCCTACGCAGGCAGCTGAAGCTGGCTCGGACAAGTCAGACTCAGACCAGGATGAAGAGCCCAAGCCTGACAACTCCGGCCCTGCTACAACCTCCATTGTGGGAGGTGTAGTCGGTGGATGCATAATTCTCCTCGTCATAGCAATTGTCATCTTCCTCTATGTCCGCCGCCAAAACAAGCGTGAGCATGCCGGCACAGAGAAGCACAGCCAACTCTATAGCCACGGCCGCCGCTCTGACAGCGACGCTTCTTTTGGCAATATGATATCTGAGCCCATCAGCCAGCCCAACTCCTACCGCGCAGACTTCATCCTCAAGACACCTTCCACTCAGCGCTCGAGCATCGTCCCTGTTCCTACACGCCAGTTCTCCAACGCTGGTGATCGACTTCACGCTCCACCTCCTCGTATCCGCATCTCCATCCCTAACCCCTTCGACTCTCCCAACCCTTCTCCCAACGCTCAGCCCAGCCCTCCAGACAACGAAGAGTCTCTCCGTCATGGAAACATTCGCTTGCCCCCTATCCGCGCTATGAAGGCATCTAGTTACTGCAGTCAACGACCAAGCACCCCTGAGCTTCAGCGCGAGCCGAGCAGCGAGAACATCAACATCTTTGCGGACCCAAGCACAATCGTGAAGCCTCGTCCGTTGACGCGAGCTACAACATTCACAGATCTGATGGACGAAGCTGACCTTGGCGCTGTGCGACGAGGGAAGCCATATGTCCCTGGCACAACACCCAGAATCTGAACATCCCACATTCACTGTCACCGTTTCATTGCAATCCGTATAGAATTATGTCTCACTAATGCAGAACCCGACCTTGACCATCTGCTGCGCACGATGGAATCCTCTCGCTACGTACATAGACGAAATATCATTTAAACACGCTAGAATCGGCTCTGGCGTTATAAGACATATTTATTGGAGGGAGTAGCTGTCGTTTATACCCTGGGCTTATTTAACAAGACCCTACTACTGTTTTTGTTTTAATACTTGAATTTTCCTTTGTTTTGGTTTGGACAAGAACTATAGATTAGTTTTGAAATGATATGCGAATATTTGTTCAACTTCTGATTTCCATGTACGTGAAGACGTGAAGCTATGATATGGCACTGCTGATGCAAGTCAAAGCTTTCCAATGTATATATGTCTGAGAGTATAGTAACACATACGAGCCTAAGTTACACAATTCATATCGACCAAGCGTTTTCAACCTCCATATTCCGTACTATTCGCCTTTTTCTTCGGTGACTCCAGCGCTCCCATAATCATGACACCCGCTATGCTGACAGCACTTAATACAAAGGAAACCTAGCGGGTGAATAAAAAAGAACCCGTGAAAACCATGACGCAAACAAAGGAAACAAAGGGTACAAAATATATAACTGTAACGATTGGGTATGTGTGTGCGTAATCAAATGTCCAGTATCCAGTATCCAAAGAACCTCCTATGTGACGCCAGTACCTGGCTATTACCTCCACCATCAATGTAATCAATTTATGCACACATCTGTTTTCACATGACGACGCATTTCTTTTCCTTCTCTTTCTCCTTCTCCTTCTCTCCAGAGCCAGTTGATATATCTGTCCAACCGGCACTGCTTGCAGCATCTGCTGCCTTCTTCTTCTTTTTGGACTTGGCTGTCCAGCCACGCTTCTTAGCATCCTTGATGTTCTTGGCAGCGCTTCGCTCAGCACGACTTGGTCTTCGGTTTATAGTTGGAGACGTTCTCGTCACCGACACCGGGGGAGCATTAAGCCAGGCGGGTACTTGCTGGTTAGGCAGTGGTAGTACCGCTGGTGGGTTGGCTCCATGCGATGAGGCGATACTGTAAATTGTTTCAAGACGCTCGACGGTCGGCCGCTGATTCGACCCATGCACTGGGCGTGGGTGCCGGGGGATTGGAGCCAGTAAAGGAGTTTCATTCCTACGGCCAGATATCTGCCGGCTGGGTGAGTCAAAAGCGCCCGACACGCCCCCAGGAGTGCTAATAATAAGAGGCTGATCGGGTTCAGTATGAGTACGGCGAGGTGGCCCTACTGACAATGAATCAGGCAGAGAGTTCGAGATGTATGAGCTACCGTCGAAGCTCCCGACAGGTCTTCTTGGGACTTGAAATGCTCCTGAAAAGCGTCGTGGATTACCCTGGCTAACTCTTTTGCTTAGACTCGCAAGTTGACTCGAGCTCGGTAAAGGTGGAAGACCTGACATTGCCTCATCCGAGGCTGGCTGCTCGGCAGGCGCAGACGTTGGGAACGGGTATTCACTGGCCGGGCTAATGGCCTGTTCAATTTGGGGGCCGCCAGCTCGAGGCCAAGTTTGAGCGTTTGATAACCGTCTCGCTATAGGCGCTGAGTCAGGCACAGACCGGGTGATGGAAGCGGCCGATGGTTCCACATTCAACGCCGGTATTCGAGGACCTGGGCCAAAATGATCATGAGCGGAGATATCTGTCTGCAGTGGTGATGGTGACCGATCATCGTCTACGGAGTTGGTAGGAGCTTCCATAGCTCTAGACGTTATGGCCGAGACAGCAGACGAGATTGATGATTGTCGAGCTCGGGTCTCTGAAGTCGCTTCCGCAGACTGAGCTGCTGACTGTCGTGGGGAAGCAGGGGGAGTGACGTCGTACAAATCAACATCCCTATTTTGGGACAAAGTGTCAACGCTGTTTTGGATCGCATCAGGGACCTGAGATCGAGTCGCGATGCTAGAGTCACTTAGTGAATGTTGAATAGGCAGTCGCTGTGCTGGGTGGTTCAAAGGTGTGCGTTGACCAGATTTAAAGTCGGTGCTTCCAGAAGCTTGGCTGCTCTGAGATTGAGAATGACTAGAGGAGTTATGAGCAGGCTGGCTTGACAAGGCCGGCATAGGAGGAGGAGCAGGAGCAGAAGCACCCCCAAGTCCCATGGGAGCAACAGATGGCCCACGCATAAAGGCAGGCAGGTCTGGACCTGGATCATCCTTTTGATATGGTGGTGGTGGAGGCACCCAATTGTCGGCATCACTCTCATGCGGATGCTCTCTTCTACCATCAGCACGGCGATATTCAATACGCCGTCCATCCGCTGTGCGGGGGTTAAGAGATCTGTCAACAGCGGCAGCAGTTGCAGCACGACGAAGCGTGGTCTGAGAACGAGGACTAGCATGTGCATACGGAGCATCCAAAGCTTCCATCTGCTCAATTGTTGGGCCGCCGTCTTCGTCATCGTCGGGGCTCTCAGGCTCGACCACCCGTCGGGGTACTGGCTGTGGTGGGTGCGCTCCAACCCTCCGAGGGAGCAAAGGATTGTCATCATCGTTGCTATCCTCATGTCGCGCCAGTCGCGATACCTGTCGGACAGCTGGTACCGCTTGTGCAGTTGGTGGTGCTGCTGGTACATCAAGGGCTGCACGAGCTCGCGAAGCAGTCGTGGCAGCTCGAAGCAAAGATGGGCCACCACGTCCGCCACGTTTTTGAGCAACAGTCCGCCGCCGAACAATGGCAACCTCGGTCGCGAGATCCCGCTGCTCTTCCTCCAGCACTTCGGGATGATCAGTGCCGACTTCGATGGTGATCTCAGACTTGGTTCCGTTAGAAATGCCGTAGTCAAAATCCAATAGTGTGACTCGACCGCCGTCGACAAAATCCATGTCTTCCTCTTCGGTGATCAGTCGCGGTGTACCGACTCCCCTAGCAGTGATCGCTAGGCGCTCTTGAGTAGACGAGCCACCATAACCTGCAACCCATTTCACGGTTTTCACTTCAGCTGACTCAGCAACTTTAAAGCCGGAAACAAAAGTATTCCTAAGCTTGTCGCAAAGCATCTGCCATTTGGGCATCCTGCCACCTTCGGTGCCGTTCGCTCGTGTAGACGCCCTTCGCGACGTGCCACTGCGGTCACTGTTTTGCCGTCCCAGACCAGACGATGATCCATCGTTTGACGACGAAGAGCTATCTGGGACAGCATCAAGATCATCGGGTACACCATAGATCCAGACCTCCTTCCCTTGAAAACCGGCTGACACTAATTCGCCCCGAAATGTCGTCGAAGGGAGAGTTGACGGGATAAGGCTGGCTTGTGAAGATGCGCTCGGTACGGGTCCAGTAAAGTATGTGGTGCCATTCCTGAGGTCATCGATCCGAACAGCTCGGAAAGTTTCAAAACTCCTGTCGTAGGTAAAGGTCCAGCTGGCTTCCTCTTCGTTCCCATCCTGAAGTAGTACAGCGTGGCTGCAGTCGCGACTAGTGTTGGGAAACAGAATCGAGGTAGTCCATAGAGGGCTCAGGTTGTCTTCGGACATATGAGGCCCTGGATCGTAGTAAGGAGCTGTAATGATGACAGTGCTAGGGGGTGCCGAGTGAATGGTAGTTCCAAGAATCTGGGTTCCGTCGAAGGAGAAGGACAGAGCGTCAACGGCATCGCATTTCACAGCTCTTCGATCAGTGGCTAGTGCGTCAGATCTCAAAGACGACACCTCGATACCGCCCTCATATGCAGCAGCTAGAACAGATCCACACGGCGATAGAGCAATTGTTCGAGGAGTATTGTCGAGAATTATAGATTGAGTCCTACGGGGCGGGCTTTGTTGTAGATCGTAGAGGTCTACCTGCATCTCAGTAGACAAAACTGCCAACAAGGTAGCTTTATCGTTGATACATGCAGCAACAGGTCGGCGAAGGATCTTCAACTCCCTCTTGACTTCCAGTTTCGTCCCTTGCAAATCAATCACGTAAATCCTACCCGAGTTGTAGGCTAAAAGGTGATGGCCTTTTGGTGAGGCGCTGTATTGCATGCCCTCGCCTCCGGGACATGATGAGGAGCTGATAGATGTCGAAATAAGCTTAAATATGGTTTCCTTCGGCCGTAGATATGCTTCGAATAGATTTCGTTTAACTTCTCGGGCGAAAAGTCGACGCAGTTCAGGTAATCGATCATCGTCGGACGCAGGGGCTGTGGGATGGCTGGCTGAATATGAAGGACATCTTGAGAGTTGGTGACAGTAAAGATGGGCTCGTTGCGAAACAGTCCTCCACTTGCGGTTGAGAAGTACAAGAGATGCGAAGCCGTTAGGATCGCTTAGTCGAAGGATCCTAGCGGGAGCGACGAGCGTTAGCACATGATAATAGGAGTACAGTAGCGCAAACGCATCTCATCATTCGACAACGTCTACGAGCTGCGCATGAAATGCTTAGGGAGTCTGATATCTACTCACTGCTCAATGATCTCGTCGGGGAGATTCTCAAAAGGCGGAACTGGAGAAATAGGCGTCTTCTCGATACTCGAGCGACGGACGTCGGTTGTCGACGCGTCCATGACGCTTTGTCGCTCTACGGTGGAAGGCCAGCGTGCATGTCAGGTCGATGGGTCGCGATGATGTCTGAAAGAAAGAGGGGATAGCCAGGAGGTTGATTCGTGAGGGGGAGAGCCTTTGTTGCTGTTGTTGCAGAGTCGAATTGGTTGGCGAGTCTAGGCTCTAGACCAGGCGTAGGAGTGTGGCTGAGGCTTTCCTGGTTCAGCTCGAGCGTGACAGATGGCGGATTCCTCGTTTGCGAAAAGGGAAGACTTGAGTAAGCACTAGGTACCTAGAGTAGGTAGGTTAAAGGTACTTGGCTTTTCACAGAACAAAGCACGACGAAATGCACCAAAATGAAGAAGAAATGAAGTCTTTAGTGTTTTACAGATACGTACAGTACCTAGGTAACTACGGATACTTCGCTTACAGTATCTTGATAACGGTGAAACTTGGGATAAACAGTAGCACACTGTTTGTTGTGAGTGATCGGCGCCATACCCAGAATTACCCAGAAGTCTGGGGCTGTGTTCACTATTACATTTCGTCCCCTGGGTTTGCATTTGTGGACAGCCTCGAGCACGGGGCGCGTTAATGTGTGTGTGTCTTCTACTAAGAGCTGGGAGCTGGGAGCTGGGAGCTGAAAGCTGAAGGCTGAGTTTATTTTGGGCTGCCAAGAGTCTTGTGATAAACAAAACGTTATAACTCCGTAGGTAGGATATCTTGGACCTGATCTGATAGCTCTGACCCGGGGTTCTTCTTATGCCTTGATTGGACGGTAGTCCCTAGAATCATAAATAGGACGATCTCTCCACTTAGTGTAGCTGTGACCTCATTTCTGTAACTCCTTATGAAATATCGAAGGGTGCAACGATGAGTCGACCCAGGAAGATCATGATATGGTTATCGCAGGAGTATGCAGCTCCAGTGACGGCCCAATGAGAGCTGTTGAATTGAGGATGGAGGTTCTCCGGAATCCATAGTGTTGTCAGTCTCTAGCTGGACATGCAGGGTGCGTAGTGAAACTCCAGAACGACACCAGACGTTGTGAGATATGATATAAAATGAATTGGAGACAATTGATCTGAATGAATAAATTAGCGTATCAAGAGAGTTATATTATCAGATGCTCTAGGGTTCGCACTTAACAGGAGCTGTATATGTATATGAAGTACGGATACACGCTCGGACGAAAAGCACGAGATGCAATTATCTCCTGAGCACAACATTAAACCAAGTAGGTAAGCAACCTTGGCTGAGGTTCCGGCACGTCGCTCCGCGCTTTGCCTGTCCAGACAGTCAGGGTGACATTTCGCTGGTGACATATCGACGTCTCACAGCTCGAGTTCCAAGGGTCGGGTTACACAACATTAGCATTCTTTGTCGGACTCTTCTCCTTGTACGTAAATGGTACGCGTTCCGTTGAACAACGGATTGCCTGATCTGTCCATCTTTGCATAGACAAGCAATCTCGGTTTAAAGACATGTTGTGTGTTCATAAAACCCCCCTTTAAACAGCGCATGTATGGTATGAATCCACTTTGTGCCGTTGACGCCTCGGCTTCAACTTACAGCTTTTAAGTGCTTTTGAAGTTGAGGCAACTCATCAGTTCTCCTTCTCTTCATCTGATCTGGAGTTTTGTCACACAAATTTCTTTACCCAAATTGGCAAGGTTGATTGATGGGTGGCACTCGCTATGTGGAAGAGATCATCTATTATTAGGCCGGGATTTGCTCAATATGGAGGTTGTTATCCATTGTCTCCATTCAGATGCCAAGAATGTATCCGTACGTCCTATTACATAACGATTCTTTGCAGTTTAAGAGTAGTATTAACACACAGGGGTTTATTATATTGCCCGAATTGAGCTTGAACTGAAGATTAATTTTGTGCCTGGTATGTCATGGGCCGAGTTTAACGGCATCCTTGCTTCTACACTTCCTCTGAAGCAACACATATTTGGTTTTCAGGATTGAGCTTCATCCTACGGTTAACAAGGCAAATATGATATGATATAATGAGGGGTTAAGCTCGGACAACTACTCCTTTAGATTTCGGCTAATTCTAAACCGTGATATCAGTGGCTCAGTTACGGTTCTGTCGCTCGGTCTGAGTAGATTGTAGAATAGGGCTTCGGGTCAAGCATAGCGAGCTGCATGGCACCTCAGGCACAAAAAACCGTGCAGTCTAATAATAGCTAGAGCACGGATATAAAGCGGATCTTGTTGGGTTCGAGTTCGCTGTCAGTTAACATTTTGCATGTGCCTCACGGACGCAGATAACTACGGCGGATTTGATCTGCACAATTGGCTTCTTGTGGGCTCGGCCCGCTCTAGAACCGTCATGTCTAATAAATTCTCCTATTCATCAGAATATCCTTCCACTGAAGTAGATCTTCTACGGATACGTCTGTGCAAATATTGAGTTTCCATTGACGGCACTTCTTTTGGTGTGCGACGGGAGAGCTGCGCACAGACAGGCCGAGACCCTGAAAAGGGTTCGATAACCGATGGATGGTCGACAGCAAACTCAAAGTTTGGTCCCCCTGTAGCTTCTTTTGGGGGCCTCATGGTCTGTATCTTGTAGCCTGCGGCCTATATAACCCCGACTGTCGCTGGAGTTTGTGCCTGCACCTGTAGCCTGGCCTGTAGTCTGTAGCCTGTAAAGTCTCCAGCTGTATGTACTTACTAGGTAGCCTTGGCACATTGTGGAACCAAATGTTGGAAATGATATGGAAGCTTGTTAGCTCGCGGATCGGCTGCGGGGGGTTTGTAGAGACATTGTGGAACTCGAAGCGGCTGTAAGAGCCAACCGAAGGGGGAAGATCGTCGTCAGCTCTTTTTTTTTTAATCTTTTAATACGGATACAGCAACTTTGTTTACGTATTGTCAATTGTCGACCTCGTCTTTCCAGCGCCAAGTCTCTGGGTCCGCACACTCCTGGCCCTCGGTAATACATCGTCCCTTTCCTCTGTACCGAAATTCACTTGATTGGTGTATTATTGTTCAATTGGTGACGAGACTTGTATATAATGCAATGGACGCCTGTTGGGCCTTGATGGCCTGATCGACATTCCTTCCTTGGCTTGCCTATTCCCGTTGACTACTTCTGACTTCATATCAGACGTATAATTCGATAATATCTACGTCACAAGAACCAGGTCTTCGTTTTTGTTGAATAAAAACAAGTTTAATCGCGGCCCAGTCAATCAATAACACCGGCGCAACTTGACGGGCTTGGTCAAAGCCTCTTACTATCACTTATTCCTTCAACCCGAGCCAATGAGCTCTACGACCACTCATGTCTCCCCCGTTTGTGGTAGTTTTCGAGGCCATTGTCTCAATTCTATCCCGCTAGACTGCCTTTTTGCTCCAGACTAATTAAACAAGACCAAATACCATCAGCAAAGACGGAACCGCGGAGATGCAGTAGCCTACGAGTCAGGCCCCAACCCGGGCCCCGGCCCCAGAGCACGTATCGTGAGGATATGTACATAACGAGATGCCGACCCTGCCAAGCCCAGAGCACCACGAGGCCACGAGTCGAGCTGGGGCTTCATGGCGATCATATTAGTGCCTGAAGAATTGCAGGAAGCCAGACTTGACGTAAAAGTGGACGAGGCCAGAGATGCTTATCTACTGAATTGACCACCACTTTAACTGACATCGGATAAGCTTGCGAGAGACCCTCTCATACAGTATGGAGTAACTCCAAAGTGCTGCGGAACCGGAGCTGGCTCAAACGGACGCTAATCGCGGGTTTGAACATCGCAGTCCACGAGATCGACACACTTGGAACGATTGAGACAAGGCCCTACCCGAGGGACGTTATCCCTCGAGAGATCCAACACTGGCGATCTTCGGGCATCGTAGATCTGAAAGGGATGCACGATGTCATCGAAAAAGGGCTGAAGAAAGGGAATAAAAGGCATGACGAGTGGAACGCTGGAAATATGCCCATCTCGAAACTCACACATACACCCCTCCCCCCCCCCCCGTCTCTTGCATGCAGGCTTGCGGCAGCTGGGATGGGAAAACGTGCAGATATGAGACCCTACGTATGTAACTACCTGGTAGGTAAGAAAAGAAAATTTGTAACTGTTAGTTTTTACAATGTGATTAATTAATCACCGGCGGCATATGCAGTCATCGCGTGCTGTTGCTTGTTGCTTGTCGCTTGTTACTTGCGGCTGCGGCTGCTGGAAGAAAAGATCCGTCCGTCAAACGGCTGGGCTACCAGGGCTTGTACTGGGACCAGGACCAGGACTGAGACTGGGGCTGGTCTGTTCTTTTTCCCCTTCTCTTTTCTTCCTTTACTTTTCTCTCTCCCCTCCCGGTCTGCCTTGGCGTGGATATAGTAAGGGAGTGCCTCCGATGACCACAAATGGCGTCCATTGATCGTTGACTAGTCTGCCAAGAAGCATAAAAGTACACGCTTGGTGATCCAAGACATCAAACACCAGACATCAGACATTACGGATAGACGCACGATACTCATCCATGTTATCTCTTTTCTCGGCGGTTCACACCACTCGCATACAGAACCAGGTTTCCCATCGGATAGGGGATCACCACCGGCAGCATCCAGAACTCTCCGCGGACGATCTGATCTGCTGTAAAGCCTGAGGCATCCCTGTTCGTTTCGTTCCTAGGTGCCTAACCAACGAGTCGTAAGATGCAAGCAAGTACTTACTTACTCTCTGTTTAGCTGTGTTCTTTTTCCGTGCCTCTGGAGTCCGGCTGTCTTTCAAATCTCCTTGGCGCCACTCCAACTTATGCGATGGAAAGTACCTGAGCATGACAACTCCTTTGTATAGGCTGATGCCACTGAGCCCTCAAGTCCAGGCTCTACAGCAGGATGCAACCACTGAAGTGTTGACTCTTTTTCCTGTTCAGAAGAGAGAAGGATTATTGACTTATGGTCTACCCAAGTCGTGCGAGCTGTTGGCTGAGGCGTTATTAAAAGATCTGGTACTCTCTTTGTCCCTCGTTTATGTTTGTTCTTCACTAGCAAGAGCAACAGCAAGTCTTTATATGGTCATATATTAATACTTGATAGGGAGAGGACCTCAAGGCGTGGGCTTTGAGCCTGGGCATGGTTGTTAAGGATGTTAAAATGCCCGAAATTTCCCCACAGGCTTTCCGTCTCGAGAAAGGCAACACCTCGACGTTGCTAAAGGGGTATACAGCTGTCGTTGTGGCCCTTGGGAACACAAAATACGATGTTGAGCTGATTTCCAGAGACAAACGGTCTTCGCAGCAAGAGACATGGGAGCCAACTTCTGCCCTTCACCTCCGAGAAACAGGGTTGAAAGCTCAAGGAGGACACATTAGGTTTCTTTATATTCCCTTCCATCTAGAGCCGGCATAGACTTTATCATAAAACGACGACTTTTATTTCATGATGTGTATCATATCATGCTCCGTATCACTGGAGACGACGTTCCAGTTGATGCTTTCTGGACTACCCGTCGATCTCGAATTTGACTTCGTTTTCGACTTGGATCTCGACTTCGCCTTCGCAGCGCCTGGCTCTAGAGCCTTTTCGATTTGTTCAAGACTGTGGGATTTTGTAAGCTCAGGTGTTGACTTGGGAGTGGCCAACCTTGGGACCTACCTGACTTTTCCCTCGCAAAGATCAAAGACGAGGTTAGGTATTCTGAGTGCCTCCGAGGGCAGTCTGGTTTTCGGACGGTGCGCAAAGGCACTCTCTCTGCGCAGGATCGGGAAGCATTCGCTGGTAAAGTGCTGGCCAAAGGTGAAATAGGAGTTTACTGGGTTGGAAGTTGTAAGGACAAGACGTCTGATATCGGTAGACTGAGCCAGTGTTCATGAAAGCCTACCTCTTAACGGAAGCTCGTACGCACGTGCTCCTAATGCTTTAGCAAGTTCGTCCCCAATCTGCACACACTTGGGCAGTGCAAATCGTTTAGACCTAAGGGTATCACTGCCTCCAGTGACGCATCGAGCCATCGCCTTCATCACTTCTGGTGTTTCGAGTCCCTGGTTGTGAGCCACGTGACAGGCTGCGACCATAACCATGCAGTGAAGCTGAACTTCTCGTCCTTCGAAATTTCGAGCAGCGGCAGCGTATGTGTTGAGTAGAGTAAGCCAGTCCATATCTCGGCGACCCCCAATGTGCGAAATGGTTAAGCGATCATGCAAACGTGAAATATCAATCGGTGTCGAGGGTTTGTTGTTGTCCCAGTCCTCATCCCCCTGAGGTAGCTTTGCAACCCATGATTTGACCCATTTGATCTGATCATTCATGCCCCGTCTTCGGACGGGCCTTTGGGGAACTGGTCTGCCGGGATCTTCAGCAATAAATTCGGCGGCGAAGCTTGGTGAAGATAGGGAATTCATGGTGTAAGGAAACGCTAGGAGACTTTTAAGTCCAGAAGCCCGGATAATAAGGCACCCATGGATGTCATGAAGAACCACAGGTTGGGTTTCCCCAAACTGACAGACAGTGTGGGTTGGTTAGTCTATATGGGGGGCTTCCAGTCGGCAGCCGATTATGCCGCCGAATTTTTGGACTTGAGCTCATCAAGGAAGATTGCACCCGCCAGGATTCTGTATTGTGCATTTGAGCCACACCTTGCCTTGCCTCACGCCCTGGCTACTACTGGTGGGAGGATGTCGGGTGAAAAGCTGGGTCGGCCTCTTGTCCTTTGCAGGGCCTGTCAATAAAGTAACAGAAACATAGTGTCATTCCCACTCAAAGGTGACAGTGGCGTCTGGTCCTAGGTCATAATGGGGTGAACCCAAGCGAAACAAACCGACCGGTGCCACATCCTCTTGTCAGCCTTGTAAGAGCATTCCGTCTGTGTAAAACTTCGGATATGGACCAGTTGTGAATGCGGATATGATTACGGTTCTGGTTTGCATAAACTTCTCTCTTAAATCGGCGAATGCAATCCCTCCTCTCCGGCTTCCTAAGCCCTGGCCCGAAAAGCAGACTGGGATCTTTATTGGTCATGAATCATCTCTACCGGATAATTTCATGATTGCAAAAGATCTTCCATCGGAGTCTCCAACAGAGCCTAGCTGGACCATCTGTCAATAGCGTATTATGTATCACCTATTATGCCAGGATCAGCCTACTAAAATAGCCGACCAAAAAGCCAAGAGAAAAGGGACAAGAGGCTTACACGGTACTGTAAGTTCGATGGAGACCTGGACTGCCGGGGCAAGGGAGGTTACTGTTCCATTGCCTCCTCGTTGTTCCAAAAACCCGGGCTAGCGAATGGTATCAAGCCGGATTTAACCCCTAGATCTACGGTGAGAAGCGCTTGTGGCCGGACTAGGGCCTTTGGGCTGCGGCTGGAGGCTACTTGCTGTAGGAGGCTCGCTCGCAGACTGCAGAGACGTGTAGTGCTTGCTAGCGTCGAGAGAGATATGCGGGTTTGCCAGAGGTCGGAGGGCTTGTTTCAACGGCCTGACAAGAAGCATGCGGCTGCATTTTGGAGTCTAGTGCTGCAGATCAAGCTTCTTGGGTTTTAACGTCTCGTGATGGAGTTGGCTCAGAAACCACAACTTCATTGGCCATCCGGGGAATGATGTAGGTTGAGCTGGCTCTGGTTACGAGCCCAAGGGCCAAGACAATAGAGAGACGGCTACGCAGCATCAGTTAGATTTGTTTGCCAATCTGCTGCCTGCTGCCTGCTGCCTGCTGCATACCGTATGGACCTTCCTTCCTTCACATGTCGCCCGGTGCCGATCCTCCAAGAGCCAAACAAAGCCGAAAGCAAGTGTGTAATATGATAGAGTGGGACTGAGTGGTGGGGTGCCATAGCTCGTTTGCTTGCGTGGGGTTTCTTTTCTGTTGTGGAACCCACGCGCGCTTGGGTTAATCATGTCGCTTATAGCCAATGTGGCTTGCGATTGTGGCGCAAAGGCGAACTGATATGATAAGATAACATGGAGTGACGTTTATCGGTGGAAGGCACTGACTGAACAGTGAGCACCCCTGAAAAAAAGAATGTGGACCCGCTCGTGTTAATCTCACCAAAACTAGAGGACAGCTTGGACTGTCGCAAGACCTCATGAACTTTATCTTTCAGCCATTCTTTTGAAATCGTTGTTTGATACTCTTCTACAGCTACTCACTTGAGCGCGTCTCGTCATTTGACAATTATACAACTTCCGCTCGATGGCGATTCGCTTCAATGGACGGTGATCCGGCTGTCGATCCGGGGCTTGACTCCTTTAGCTTGGCTTTTCCTCTGCCTTATCGTGTTGGCTTTATTGCAACTTTAGGTGAGCATCAGAACCCTATTTTGAGTATATTATCCGTCGCTAACGGCCCATAGCTGTTTGGGGATGGGGGTTGAATCTCCATTGTCTCTATCTATTCAATGTCGACGTTCCGCAGCTTATTCGATATCCCGGCCGAGCATCGCCGCAACACATCCCGCATCATGGCTCAACGTACCGCCTTGCGATTGCTCTTTCAGTATTATTCGCATTGTCAGTAAGCCTGTTCTGGCTATGTACATGGGGTATTCCTGAGCGCGTCATTGCTTTCGGGTGGATGCCATTGACGTACCTTACTGCTTTGATTGCAATGTTCGTCGTTCCATTGAGAAACCTGCCCAGCGGCGGAAGAAGGAGATTCTTGGCTACTCTGCGGCGTGTGAGCCTAGGAGGACTGGCAGAGCCTCAAGACGGCAAATTTGGCGATATTTTGCTGGCCGATGTTCTAACATCATACGCCAAAGTTTTTGGAGATCTTTTTATCACTCTATGCATGTTCTTCTCAGCAGCAGGATCGTCTACGCAGCGACCTGACCGCAACTGTGGAGGAACAGTGCTTGTCCCGCTTATCATGGGAGTGCCTAGCTTGATCCGATTTCGACAATGTTTGATCGAATATTTTCGGGTTCGACGGGCCCCGTATAAGGAATCCACGGGATGGGGCGGTCAGCACCTGGCCAACGCCCTCAAGTACTCGACAGCCTTCCCAGTTCTTATCACCAGCGCTTGGCAAAGATCGGTGGAGGATCCTGGATCCAAGGCAGCTCTACACAAAGCTTGGCTTGTTGCCGTACTCATCAACTCGTGCTACTCTTTTTACTGGGACGTGGCCAAGGATTGGGATATGACTCTCTTCTCTCCGAAGCAAGATCGTGAATCTCCTACTCATCCCTTTGGATTAAGAGATCGCTTGGTATTCAGATCTCCTAAGCTGTACTATTTGGTGATTGGCATGGATTTGATGCTGAGATGCACTTGGTCGATGAAGCTCAACAGCCGCTTGGACAAGTTTAGTGATTTGGAGGGTGGCATATTTTTCATCGAATTTCTCGAAGTACTCCGTCGATGGATATGGATCTTCTTCCGCGTCGAAACGGAATGGTTAAGGAACAACTCAACAGGCCTCGGTGTCGACGATATCCTACTTGGAGATTACCAAGGGAAGGACGGAGAGGACGATTGAAGGGATTACCGACATATGCAACTAAGAAATACGGATCACTCAGCAGCCGTCCTCCCGCGCGCCTAGGGCAGTTTTATATAAGCACAACTTTCAATGAGATATTCGACTACGGCTTTGAACCAACGTTTCGCCGGAGTTGGACCTTTTTTCCTTATCCCAATACCTTTACCAAGCCAGCCTACATTCCTAAGTGAGGCTTCATGCCCGGGTTTCCTGACACCTAAATAAGAGTTTAGTCGGCAAAGGCTTGAGATGCCACGAGGCCATTCCCGGTAAATGGGAAAGTTTACAGGAAATTGGTATGACCTGACGATCTTGCTACCATGAGCCAGATGGGTCCTCCCGCGCCTATTCAAGGTAGCTTTACCCTTCCCGGACGAAGTTTCGACCTAATCACGAAGTTGGCTGTTAAACGAGTGGACCTAACTGGAAATATGCGAGAGATGACGATGTTTCCGGAAGGGCAGAACGTGGCCTCCAATCTCAGAAGCAGTGCTCTGAACAACGTAAATGCTGGAAATGCTTGGCCCTTGCAACCACTCAGCAACCTTTTGGACGCTTAGTATGTCTGTAGCCGTATGGTTTTGATAATGATGGTCTCCAGCCGTGTAGGGACAGCGCAGGTCGCCACGTCCATATACAGATGATACTTCAATATCTACACTCGCTTGCCTCAACGATTGAGGAAAGACTGACTTTTCTCCTTTGTGAGCACCTTGCGAGGCGTGGGCGGTATGTCTTTTGCCTTGAAGACTGGAATGTTGCTCATTGTCTGACCAATATGTGTCGCCCTACTCACTGAGCCTAGACTCAAGCCTCCCGCCACAACCCGCTAAGTCCAGGTGACTCCGGAAGTAAGTGGACAAATGCTAGGATTCCATAGGCCTGGTTACATTGCCGGACTATGGCGGCTTAAACTCACAATTGCTTGGAGGAACTCATAAGATAGAGTTGGCCTCTCAAGTCAACCCGGAATGAGACTCTCCTTCTGCTCCATTTCCCAACCTATGTTTTGTCTCTAGGTTTCCTGCAAATTCAACGATCCCGCCAACCCCACGATACCGATCTCGCATCTTGACATCGACAACACAGGTGGATCTTTGCAGCAGGTTAAACTCGAAGTTGCTTACTATCCGAGTCGAGCAAAACGGGCGCCTTTATAAGGTTTGACCGGGATTCCAGCTGCTTTGTCTTGCGCAACCGACATTGGCACCTCAGGGTTGCAAGCCGACAAAGCATTCATGCAGGGCCTGACCCTGAGACATACCGGCTTGGCCAACTCAAACAACAAACAGCCTAGGTATTGAATCAACCCAAGGTGCATACTTCCAACCAACATGACAAGTTGTCCCCGCCGAGTGAGCAGTATAGAACTCGTGCTGCCACCACAAAATGCATACCTCTACCGCGATAGGCCATTACCTCAACCTCCAACAACACTCTCCGGGAACACAGCAAAATCAAGACCAACTCCTAGATTCAGTGCTTTCCCTCAGACTTCGGGGCCTGGGAATGATCCCAAGTCATTGCCTCTAGAACCGCCTATAGTGGTGCCCAAGGCGTTGACAAGAAGACGCGCATCACGTATGAGCATATCGGGGGCTACTTCGTTGCGCGAACGACGATCTTCTCAGAAGATCCAGCAGATCACCGGCCACGACATCGGCCCTGGTATTGACTGGACGGCTCCTGCAACCCGGGTACTATACTCACCGTCCATCTCGCCAAAATCGATCCGAGACGATTCGTCCAGCGGTTATAGCATCGCGTTAGATGAGCCGATATTCGACGACGAGCCTACGCCACTCGCGGATTACCAGCCAAGATCTTCTGACAGTAGCATGCCTCCGCTGGAACCAGACTGCGACAGCGTTTTGAGCAATCAAAGCTACACGACTCCTGAATTACCCAAACCCCATCGAGGGTCTGTTTCACTTCACGTAGCCAAGACAAGACGCTTAAGCAGCGCGGCATCCACGATGGCAGCATTGGAACCAACCCCCAATCTCGTTGACCCATTCGATGAGGATGTTAACTGGCAAGCCGGGTCCTGTTACAACTATTTTACCGACCTCGAGACGGCGGACGAGTATCATCGGATTGCCACTAGATTGGCCAACAACGACAAGCGCCAGTCGGTATATGATGCCTCTTCCCTTACACGTTCTCGCAGTTCGCTCAGCCGGCGCCTCAGTGTTTCAGCGCGCTCACTTTTCACGAGGAGGAAAGATTCGGTTTTGTCGGCAGACTCTAGTAGAGCATTACTAACAGCAACCAACCATCCTACTAAGGGGCCATACTCACCTTCCATCCCTCCCTCGGATGCTGCCAGCGTGATATCACCGCCTCGTAGCACGTTCGAGGCCGATGACGATGAAGAAGTTGACGACGACGATGGAAGTATGAGGGGGGTTATTAAGGATTTCCTCATACGAAGAAGTGAGGAACGCACCTCGGTAGACCTGGGGGTACCCCGTTCTATGCCACAAGTTTCAGAAGGGCCACAGCAGCACAAGACTTTATCAAAGACAGGAGTGCAGATCAAGATGATTCCTGAGGAGGAAGTCGGACGTTGAGTGATGGTGACGATGAGGAACGAGGAATGAGCACGGCCTGAACGAGACCTTGCTTGGCATTTGCATTTGAGCGTGGCGTGTCATATTGAACGAGATTCCCCCAGAACGATATTTGATTTAATACAGATACATAGACTTTGTGTTGACATTATTGATATTAAAGTATATATCGATTTGGTGGAGGAACACAGTAGGTTATTTATGTTAGGTTATTCAGCCTTCCCAGAAGCCGATTTTAGTAACAATCGAGTTAATCACAACTGATGTCCATTTGATTCCAATAAAATGACACCAAAGCCTCGCTTATTCTACCATACAATATAAACATTACCTCTACTACGTATCTCGTTTCTTCTGTCAACTTACACACCACCTGATTCCCGTTTCCTGTTCCTCTCCCAGACCCGCCCCCACCCCCGCAGATCTACTCTTACCCGTCCAGATCCGGAGTCAGAACCGCCTCCAGGCCGAGGCTTCAATCTACACCTGAAGCTCCGGACTCCGGACTATCTCTCCCAGCCTAATGCTCGCTCGCTTTCCAATACTGACATTAACTCAAAATAAAACAAACCAAGAGACAAAAGGCGATCATCTGGGAAGCAAGCTTGGGGCTTGGCTTGTTCTCTTAGGGCGATTAAAGTTTCTGCGGCGCGCTGATCACTCACCATGATCCGCGAAACAGAGGCCTCTAATATCAATAACGGAGCTTCTACAGAGCCAGGAATCGAAAGCCACAGCATCACTGACGCTGACGTGGTTGAAGCGCTACAGAAGGGTATTTACGAAGCTGCAAGGGAGGAGCTGATCAACCAAGGAGAGGCGTCACTATATTATGACTCCTTGACCATGTCGCCTTTGAATGCAATGTCCTCTGTGAGTTTTGGTTTTGTTGTTGCGTCTTGGTTCGAAATGCACACATCTCGTCTCTCTTATTCGTTCTGCTTCGATGCGTCTCCTCCACGATTCACCACATCTATACTGCAGATTGCTAACCAACATCATATCTCGCAAGGCCGCTATTGCTCGCTTTCGAGCATACAAGCCCCCTGCATTCCCGCTATGGGATCGTTTACCAGTTCGAAGACGGGCGGCTGTCTTGATACTGCTGTATGCTGACCGTCGCGGCGATTTACGTGTGGTAATTACCATGCGCGCCGCAAGTTTGAGGAGCTTTTCTGGACATGCGGCCTTTCCGGGAGGCAAGGCGGATGATGCTGAAGAAACGCCATGTGAGACATTGCTACCGAATTTTGTTACTATTTTGCTAATCTGGCCATTTAGTCCAGATCGCCCGCAGAGAAGCGTGGGAGGAGATTGGACTTCCAATGGATGATACCAAGCTCCCTAAACCTTTCCGTATTGAACATCTCTGTTATCTGCCTCCTTCTCTAGCCCGGACACATCTTGTTGTACGACCATGTGTTGCGTTTCTACATTCAGACCAACGGACAGCAGGAGAGCCCGCTCCTACTGTAGACGAGACCATGATCCCCAGGCTAGACGCACGAGAAGTCGCCGCGGTGTTTAGCGCACCCTTCTACAACTTTCTTAAAGCGAGCGATCTCCCTCCTGCGCCCGGCGAGACGCTCCCAGAGGGACAATGGTATGATGGGTTTTGGCACTCGTGGAAAGACCACCAGTGGCGGGTGCACAACTTTTACGTTCCTGTCAACAACCAGAGCATCTCCAAACCGCGACGGGACAGCGAGCAAAGCCGTCTGGTTGACAAGCTAGAAACCGAGGAGGAGCCAGATGGCCGGTTTAAGGTCTGGGGTATGACAGCGCGTATACTGGTGGATGCAGCAAGGATCGCATACGCGCAGGAGCCTGCATTTGAGCATAATGACAGTTTGGGTGATACGGAGATCATTGCGCATGCAGATAGTCTGGGAGATTTGGGGGATAAGGTTGAGGAAAAGAAGGCGGAACCTGTTGACGCTGCAAAGATGTAGAGCACGACTAGAGTAGAGAGACATTGTTCACAAAACGCTGAGGTTTTTGAGTTTAAGCAAGTCTCAAGCCATGCATTTGCTTCTACATAATTGGTTATACTGCTCCAATAGAGGCTGCCAAACATGCGTAGAGTTTCTCTACTGCAACGATTTCAGGCTCAAAGACATTTGTGGCTTAATCGCAGCCGTTGCTATATAACGTGCAGTGCCTTAATGGCATGCGTTATCCTTCGTAGCAGAAGTTCTTTTTCCAAAGGCCAGGTATCCGAGAAAAGCGCCCAGCGAAACAGCAATCATAACCCAACCATTGTATGTCATGAAAACAAGCCTTACTTTGTTAAAAACCGTTTATCTATGACAATCATAAGATGGGTAACCACTCACATGAGCATAAAAGCGTAAAAGTTCTGCAGACCATACAAGACAGCCTTGATAAGGTGGGCGCGCTGATCGGCTTGTCCCTGGGATTGCCCTGAAAGGATGGGAGTCGACTCAGTAACAAGAACATCAAGACCTCACGGCAAGACTTAGCAACGGCATGATTTTGTTGTGATTTTCCCCGCGAAGAACAGCACAGACATGGCAAAGGGTACAAAGCAGCATTCTGTTCTTATTCTTGGGGGGTCCTCATGGAGAAAATATGGGTATATGCGGTCTTGAAGGGGGGAGCAAGAGATAGGATGGGAGCTTACTGGGGGCGGTGCGGACGCGGTTATCGAGCGCTTCTTCGTGGCGGCGGGAGAGGGAGCGGAGGGCTTCGTAGCCGACAGCGAGGAGAACGACGGCGACGAGGGAGAAGAAGAGGGATGTTGTTGAGCGGACATGCCATTGGCGGAAGACGATGCAGAGGTTGTTGGTATTCCAGGTGAAGAGCATCTAGCATCATGTCAGTATAGATCCGTGTAGAGAGAAAGAGTTCGAGCTGGAGCTGAGGACAACATACGTTCATGCTGCACATATCCTTCATGCCTCCGCCATGGCCATGATCCATATCTCCATGGTCCATGCCGCTGTGATCCATGTGTCCGTGGTCCATTATCGTGATAGTCGTGTTGTTGTATCCGGTTTGTTCGGGTCAGGTCAGTGAAGGCGTCGTCGGTTGATATAGCACTGGTCGACTATCGAAACGAGCTCAAACGTGCGCAGGATCATGCGGTGTCCCCTAGATTCCCCTAGATTGTGGTTAGAGGTTAGTCGATAACAAGGGAGCGGGTGTCGGATATGGGTATGGGTGGGTGGAATGACGCGACAGTAGATACCTGGCTTTGTATGTAAATATGTATGGGCACACAAGTACCTGGTGTCTCAGCTTCTGTTAAAAGGGAGGGGTCGTCCCGACCCTGTAGGTACAGCTACCGCGGTCTACCTACTACGGGGAGCTTCTAGGGACTAGGTACCCTGTATCCCGTCATTCATTGACTCGGAGAATGATATTACAAAGAGAAAAATGCATGATTTTGCCTTATTTACTCTCTATAGCTCTATTAGTTGTGATAGAGAACTTGTAGTTTATATAGCAGATTGTACATCATCTCCCGTGACATCCGCAACTCACTTACAAATTATCCGCCCCTCACTCTCATTAACCTATCCTCATCCCAAACTGCAACTCTGACAGTCGTCCACTTTTACTTAATTTTAAACTTTGTGCTATTTACATCTGGTATACATACATAAATAGACCAGAAACTGCTTCAAAATGCTAGCTCCTCCTGTCAATCTTCCCAAATGGTGAGTCTGTCTCTCAACCTTTTCGCAAAGCGAAACAGAAATAGAACACACTCGTTGACCAAGCCACTATGAGCCCAGGCTTGAAGAGAACTCTCACCTTCTGCAGCCACCTATCAACAACTACTGTGTCTACAATGAAGATTTTACTGTCATGGTAAACCATGTTCTCTATTACAGCATCATGAGAGCTTAACTGACGATTATCTTCAGATCGTTGGTGGCCCAAATGCCCGCACAGACTACCACATCAACCAAACCCCCGAATGGTTCTACCAATACAAGGGCGCCATGATGCTCAAGGTCGTTGACGATGGAAACTTCCGCGACATCATCATCCGCGAAGGAGACATGTTTCTCCTCCCTGGTAACACGCCGCACAACCCTGTCCGCTTCGCAAATACAGTTGGAGTTGTCCTCGAGCAACGCCGCCCTAAGGACTCGCTCGACCGTATGCGCTGGTACTGCGGCAGCTGCAGTGAGGTCGTTCATGAGGCTGCTTTCCATTGCACCGATCTAGGTACCCAGATCAAGGCGGCTGTGGAGGACTTTAAGAGCAACGAGGACAAAAGGACTTGCTCCAAGTGTGGCACTTTGGCTGATGTGGCGCCGAAGCCGGGGAGCATCCAGGACCCCAACCTGGAGTAACGTTTGACCAATGCAACAATTTCAGTGTATCAAGAGAGGTTAAGGCGTATGGGCACTAGGTAGTAGGTTTTCAGTTCTGGGTGTAGTTGTAGTTGTAATTGCAGAAAACTGCTTGTTCTCTCCTGGTATTCTACAAACTTAATCATCAAATATGTCTTTATTCTACGTCTCTCTTACAACTGAATTCATTATTTTCTTCAAGTCTCAGCAAATGTGTATGAGCTAGGAGACTCCTCGACAGGGATCTCAATGGCACCCTCCTCCAACTCCTTTCCGTCAATCCTCACACCAGCGCGGATCACATCACCTGGCACGGCAGGACCTACACCAGCAGGTGTACCAGTGAGGACAATGTCACCGGGGTGGAGTGTCATGACCTTGGAGATGTCGCTCAGAATACGGGGGATCTGGTAGATCATAAGGTTAGTAGAGCCCTGCTGCTTGGTCTCGCCGTTGAGCTGAAGGAAGAGCTCGATGTTGTGAGGGTCCTTGATCGCGGTCTTGGGGATGATGTTGCTCATGGGCAGGAATGTGTCGAAACCCTTGGCAATGGACCAGGGAAGTCCCTTCTTCTTGGCCTCGTTCTGAGCGTTTCGGGCAGTGAAGTCAATGGCGACGGCATAGGCTGCATAGTGTCAGTTTTTAGCATCAGCAAATTGGGAGATTAAGGGCGTAACGCTATCACCCTCAACGGCGTCCAAGGCACCCTGTGTATCAGAGGCTTGGAGATCTCGAGTCAGCTTGCCAATTACAAGAGCCAGCTCAACCTCGTAGTGCATGTCAATGCCCTTGGGCCTCAGAACGGGGCCTTCATTAGGGAGGACAATGGAGGAGGTTGGCTTAAGAAAGAAGAAGGGCTGCTTGGGCTTGGCGCTGTTAAGCTCAGCAATGTGCGCTCTAAGATACGGCTGTTAGTATATCTCATATTGATCTCATATTGGTCAAGGTAACATACGCAAAGTTGCGGCCAATGCAGACGACTTTACCGGCCTGTTTAAGGCTCGATGTGGCTTGAGGGGCCATGCTAGCCATTGTGCGTCTGAAGGCAAACATGATGAATATTGACTGAGGGACGACTTAGATATAAATGAGAATATTCAAGAAATTAAAGTGGTAATACAGTGATAAACCTCATTCACAGGCTTGATGGTGGAATAGTCGGCCAAGCTTAAACGTGAGCGACTTCGGAAGTGTTGCCCCGAAGGAAAGTTTCGGAAATGAGTCCCGGTAAACAAACAAGTCGCGGGGTAGACTACTAATCTTTTGGGGACAAGGAAATGGATACGGATACAGGCTCATTCTTACCGAATCATTCCATTCTACGCCGACTTCGCAATTGAACCCAATTGATAGAGTCAGGTGCTTCCCTTTTGACCAAAACAGATTTTCATCAAAGAAGTGCCAGAGTCAACAGCTCCTGCTCCATGTTAGGTCGGGGTGCCTTCCAACTGTGTCTCGAATCGCTTTAGGTTTAGCTTCTTTTATTAACAAAGCACTTTCATTCACACCAAACCGTTCTTTAAGATCAAACAAGTCGAGGACAGTCGAGGATTATGCAATCCTTCAAACCGTATTGTTTCAATATTAAGAGACAATCATGAAAAGGCACTCGGTTGTCTCTCGGCCTACAGCAGCGTAATACAATACTGCAATTATCTAGTGATAATTGTTTTCTTAGGGTTCGGCTTCATCCTGTTCTTACTCATATTAATACTCAGTGCATCAGATGAACAGCAAGCCTTTGTCATTGGCTTTCTTTGATGACACTCCTGCCTTTACTGTCGGACACGACCGAGTTCATGATCAAAGAAACTTGGCCATGGCGTTCACTAACACTGATCAAAGAATGTTGAGACAACGAAACCAACAGCTATTGTCCCCAGACAAGCTACTCTACCAACCCAAGCTATGACTCGTCGTGGTCTCAACTTCTGATATATAAGATATACATGAACGACACCACCGAGTCCACCCATTGCCACTTCACCAACAACACACCAGGGAAACTTACAACACACCTTCACAGTCCAACAGTCCAACAGACTAGCCCAAAACAACGCATCTCAGCTTTACGAAATGTGTATCAAGGTCATCCGGTGGTTCTTTTGCCCCGTCATAGCCCCCGACCCCCTTCCACAAGTTATCCCAAGACCATATCCCGCAGACCCATTCAAGCCATGGATTCACTGGCAGCCGGAAGAGCCAGTTCCTCCGGAACAGCTACAACATCTGCATACAGTATACCAAGGCTATTACCATGTTCGCCATAGACGCGAGCATTGGATTCGATGCGCCCGAATTGAAGTAAACGACTGTCTGGCACGGCCTGTTGAGATCCGAACCGAGCTCTACAACATTGCTTGTCCTAGCTGCACTGGGGACCACGACTCCGCCATGTCTGCAGAACCTTTTGTTGCTCACTCTGATGAAACAAATTATGACATGAATGACCCAGCCAGCATGCGGCCTGTCCACCAATATCTGGAGGAAATCATGTTGCTTGTACGCGCATTCTTCAAGATGGAGGTGAGGAGAGATGCCCTGGACGAAGTATCGTGGACGCAATTCTTGCGTGGTCTAAACTGTACCCACGACCCAACCCACATTCAGCGAGATCATCCCGATCGAGTTGGTAACGATGATTGTTTACAAAATTGTCCTTGTTCTTTCGATCCTGGAGCCCACAACTTGACGCGTGCGGCTCGCAACCATGAGGCTCATTCCATGAGAACCAGAAATCCCAGGCATTGGTTTGTCATGTCTGCCGTGGACAAAAAGTTAGTAGAGTGGAAGACTCAGCGTTTCGCCCATCTTCCCAACCAGTTGGCACTGAACCGGGATGACCAAATGGTGCAGAGGCATGACTATATGATGGGGCGTATCAACGAGCAACTATCGGCGCTTCTGCACTTGGAATACAACCCGGACCTTGCGACTTCAAAAACTCCCTTCATTCAGAATTTGGACGAGTGGCGAAGGCGTGTTCGTGCACGTGAAGCGACATGCGTGATGCTCGTCCGGTATGCTGCTAGTGATCCCGGCATTAACCTCAAGTTTGCAGAATCAATCATGAAGATTATTCTGCCTGCTCTTGCCCCAGGACTTGATTCTAACGACCCCAGAGTTGCAAATCTGTTCTGCAACACCCCTGCACAAGAGGGAGGAAATTTACTCGACCTTGTGGAATTCAGCGATCAGCTTTATCCCAATTTTTTACTATCTCGATTGAGGTATCTTTGTATGAGACACCAGCTACACCTTTTCGAAGTGCTGGTGCGAAACCGCCGCATTACTTCCACAAATATTCTCGGCAGGCAGAGGGTGGCTCAGAGTGTTATTTCAACAAACACAATTCCTGGCAGCAACCTTCTTCGGACCGGCGAAGTGGCGGATCAAAACTGCACCATCTGTGGTGACGATTTTGATACAAAGGCCTCTGCAGGCAGCGTGATCCCTCATCATCTCGCTGTCATGCAACTTCCCTGTTGCCGGCAATTTATACACGCAAGATGCTTCAAGGGGATAGCAGCCCTTCAGAGGCAGGCATGTCCATTCTGTAACGCGGATCTTGCTACCATGGGCATGGTCTCGGATGCACAGAATAACTTGTTTTCATACCAGAGGCCGCATGAAGATCTCCCACGAGGGCTACATCGCTTTCCAGTCCCGAATGAGCAACTCCAGGCTGCGTTGGGTCACCCGGGTGGTATAAGAATCATACGGCGTTTGAACCGGGTCATAGAAGCAGAGGAGGGTTTGCGGCCGGGACATCTTGGCAACACCTATAGGGATTGGCCTTTACCTCCGCTTCCAGTTCCCGCAGATGACGACCAAGGCAATGATGGCGACAACCAGGGCAATAATGGTAACAATCAAGGCAACGCGGGTAATAACTAATGCCACGGTTGTAGCAACTAAGGCTATGGGAAGATGGAAGATAGAAGTGCTTGTTTTGTCGATTTGTCGGTATCAAACATGAGATACTGGGTGACTTACTGTGCGAAATAATGTTTGGGTATGCAGTTTCTCTTTTGGATTGGAACTTGCCAGTGGCAAGACTTGATATTGATGGACGAGAGACCAACGTCACTCAAAATAGATAAATGTGTATGAGATTTTGTAGTTATGGAAAACCAATAATATCGTGGATATAGTACTTTGAAATCTATGCTTTTTGCCCTTTTCTACATGAAATTGTCTCTATTACGCAACGTCAACAAATGTCCTCTTCTTAGCACTTCCTTTATCGTTCTCCTCCTCCCAATTCTCATCCACGTAGTCCTTGATGCTCTTATCACGAATCTGCATGCCCACGACCTTGAGGGCAGCGATGTTGACACCCATCTCGTCCTTCTGGCGCTTAAGCGAAGCGCGGAGGTTGATGCGGATGCCGTCAAGCATGGTCTTCATAGTACGGCTGGCAACAATCTGCTTGTGATGCGTCTTGAGCATGAAGAAAAGAATACGGCATGTCAAGGGCATGTTCATTGAGCGCATGGCAAAAATGTTGAGAAAAGTGAAGAGCATGGGGACGGTGGCGAAGGGGAGCACCAGGAGCGCATCGTGCAGCGCAGAGGCCTTGATCTTCTGCAGAACAGAGAGGACGTAAGCTTCGGCGGTGATGTTGCCGAGGGCGAGGAAGATGGGGTTGCGCTGCGGAGGCTGGGCGTGGGGATTTGTGAGTTTGGCTTCCTCGTACTCTCTCAGGAGGCTAAGATCAGCCATGCCCATCTCGAGAGCCTCTGCTATCCTCTCACCAGCCATGAGAGTCTCTGTAGTCTGCTTGCCCGCCGCATCAACCTCGTTGTTCTCGTCCTGAGCGTCGGCATCTCGTTCTAGGGATGTAGTAAGGGTGCTCTCGTACAACTCCTCGATCTCCTTCTCGCGCTCTTCCTCAAGGAAGATCTGCTCCTCACTCTCGTCCCAGACTCGGATGCTCTTGTCGTGGCCGGCACTAACCAAGAAGTAGCCGCTGTGGGAGACAGCGATGGCCCATACTTCGCCATGGTGGCCGTCCAATCTCTGGATCTGCTCGAACTTGTCGCCATCCCAGTACCGGATCGTGCGGTCCTTGCTGCTGCTGAAAAAGTGATGGCCGTTGCCGTCGTTGTTGTGCGGTACAAATGCGATTTGAAGAATACTGTCCTGGTGTCCAAAAAGGGCCTTGTGGCAGTCACCAAAGTCGAGACCCCATATCCTGATGTTCTTGTCGGCTGAACTTGTCACGATCAACTTGCTGTCGTATGAGATGTCCATGCTTAAAACGGGAAGCTTGTGGCCGTAGAGGTTAAGGTAGAGCTTTAGAGAGTCGACAAAGAAGACCTTGACTGTGTTATCCAGGAGCGCAACAGCCAGAAGCTTTGAGTCCGGCGAGAATTTCAGACTCAGAATATCGTCAGCGACCTTCAGTGTCCTAGAGTGCTGCAGCTTTAGCTTTGGTGTTGTTCTTTTTGTGCCAAGAACCTCTTCTTGAACAATCTTGAAATCCCAGAACTTGGCGGTCTTATCTGCACTGCCAGAAACAACAGACTGGCCCTCAGGGTGGACATTCAGAGACCAGATGGCACCCTCGTGGGCGTCAACACTATCAAGAAGCGCTGCTGATGCCACGTCGAAGAGCTGCAGCTCACCACTCTTGGTACCAACAACAACAACCTTGTCTCCTGGGAGGAAAGAACAGCAGAGCGCATAACCGCACTCGAATGTTCGGATGCAGTTCTGTGTCTTGATATTCCAGATCTTCAAGCTACCGTTGGATGCAGACGCCAGCATTTTGTCGTCGGAGCTGAGTGACAGAGCTCGAATATCTGTTCGGTGGCCAGGGAGTTCGATAGATAGTGCCCTTGTGTAATCGGGCACGTCTTCTCTCTTTGATTTTTCGCTCTTGTCCTTGGACGGCAGGCTGTAGTACTCGAGTAGGTTGTTTGTGGTTCCTACCAACAGGTGAAGGTCTTTCTGTCCGCTGGGTACAGCCCAGTCAACTGAGCGGATCTTGCCTCCTGTTCGCACGATGACATATTGGACAAAGACGTCGCTGATGTCAGCCTTTGAAACATCCACAGACTCTTCTCCTACTACTTCCTCCTCGGCGGCCTTTCCATCCTTGGCCTTCTCGCGTCTTCTTCTTCGCTTACGGGCCAGTGCCTTTTTTATCTCGACCTCGGTTCGTATCCGCCACACATCAACTGCCTTTTCTGAGCCGTGGACAGCAAAGTAATCTTTCTTAGGGTGGAACACTACTTCTGTCGCCCTGTCCTTGCTCTGCCTGTGTAATGTTCCGCGGTCGTGGAGATATCGGGCCGCAGCAGGCGTGTCGACCTTGCGGGCGCTCAATGCAAGACCATCAGCATCCAGTGACCAGACCTTGATCTCGCCATCGTTTCCGGCTGTAACGCAACCACTGTAATCTGGCGACAATCCCAACGCCCAGCACTCGCCGTTAGTTTGCGAGATGTGAGTCTCAATGCAGTATCTTGACGAGAGATCCCAGAGCTTGATTAGAGAGTCTTTGCCGGTCGTCAAGAGGAAACCATCATGCGCTCCTTCGCCATCAATGACCATAGCCTGTGTGCCATCCTCATCCTGTACCTGAGGCTCTGGCTCAACAAACTGAAGTCCAGTAATCTGGTCTTTGTGTCCTCTGAGCTTGAACTGTCCGACTTCCGCAACAAGATCCCAGATGATGATATCCGTGTCCTTGGAACCACTGGCAAGTCTCACACCAGACTTATCGAATACAAGCTTGGTGATTGCAGACTTGTGGCCGTTGAAGTTGAGAATGACGGAGGAGATCTTGCTGTCCCATAGTCGAATGCTGCCATCCTCGTATCCAACAGCAAAGACGTCCTTGTCGGCTTTGCTTTGCGCGATCGCAGTTACAGACACCGTGCATCGTTCGTCTCTCCAGCGGCTCAGTAGTTCACCCTTCTTTATGTCCCAGCAGAGAACCTCTTCGTTCGCTGCGACGATCGCCTGTCCCGCGCCGGATCCTGTTCGATCTTTGGAGGACCATACTATGTTCGAAGTAGGCAAGGCGACAACGCCAAAAGTCCTGCCATGCTCGTACTTTCTGTTTGGATAGTTTGTTAGATGGAGTCGCCGATTTATTCTGATCAACTTACAGGTAGGACTTGACCATGTTTGCCCGGTTGCGACCAGAATTGGCCCTTTTCTCAAGTTTGTCTCTTACAAAAGTATCCCAAAATCTTTTGTTCCATCCCGCGGAAAGGAACCAGGTGGGAAATTTTCTTATCGATAAGAAGTCCATCCCTGCTCCACTGGAAGCTTTCTGTCACGTGGGTTGGCTGGGAGCTCGAGGCTCACCACGTAAGCCCCACTACCCAGGCGTCACCTACTGTGCCATACGACCTAAGCTCCCAGTACCTTAACGACGAGAGTAAAGGGGAGCGCATACAAGCCAACCAACAAGATGCTTCTTCTAGACTACCAAAACGTGCTGATTCAGTCAGTTCTGACTGAACGGTTCTCTGGGTAAGATTGTATATTACCGAATGCCCCAGAACAAGAGCTAACAGGCTGTACGTCAGAGCCCCTCCCGCTTCCATTGACCAGACGGTCAGCGACTTCGACGGCGTTACGTTCCATATCTCGACTCCTGAGACCAAGACCCAGGTTCTTCTTTCGATCCAAATACGATGCTTCCCCGATCTCGTCAAATACGGAGCTGAGGAGGTTCTCCAGCGAGAGTATGGCGACTACATGACATCGGTTGAGCCCGGCTTCGACTTCTCCGTTCTCGTGGACTTGGAGAACCTCCCAGAGTCAAAGGGTAGAGCTACCTGTCCTCCAAACGACTGTGGGGATTTCAATGCTGACCGTTGAACAGAGGAACGTAATGAGCTGGCTCTCAAATTCGCTCTCCTGAAGCGCAACGCCATGGCCGCGCCATTCGAGCAAGCTTACAAGGAGCACTACGAATTGAAGGAGGAGGCTTCCAAGTTTACGTCCGAGGAAGCTCCTCAAGGTATCCGAGAGGGAGGTCAAGTTAAGGCGATCCACTACCGAGAGGAGGAGGCCATCTATGTAAAGGCCAGCCACGACCGAGTCACCGTGATCTTTAGCACCGTCTTCCGCGAAGAGACCGACCGAGTGTTTGGAAAGGTATTTATCCAAGAATTCGTCGATGCCCGAAGGAGAGCTATTCAGAATGCTCCTCAAGTCCTGTTCAGGAACGACGCCCCTCTCGAATTGCAGGGTGTCCCAGGAATCCAAGAGTCTGGATCCGGGGATATTGGCTATGTGACTTTCGGTAAGTTCGGCCGGTCAATCCAATCAATGACATGAGCTAATCGAGTTGCAGTCCTGTTCCCCCGCCATCTTACTCCTCAGCGCATGACCGATGTTATCTCTCATATTCAGACCTTCCGTGACTATTTCCATTACCATATTAAGGCTTCAAAGGCCTATATTCACTCGCGTATGCGAAAGAGAACTGCCGACTTCCTTCAAGGTAACTTCCACCTGTTGGCTCAAATCAGTTGCGTAGCTAATACTGTTCAGTGCTGCGTCGTGCCAGACCGGAGAACGAGGAGAAGGAGAGGAAGACTGCCAGTGGCAGAACTTTCAAGGTACAAGGCAACTAGATTTTGGCACAGAACGCCCCCCTCTTTCTGTGTCACTGATGTTATACAATGACTTTTTAGTTCCTGTGCCGTAGTTGTCGAACCTATAGATAGGGCGGTTATGCGCGGGCAGATGATAGTTGAGCGAATGATACTATAAACCACTTGTTGGTATCTCAAGTCAATGGGAAATAAACAAATGAAAAAGTCCAAAAATTAAATACGCACTGAGGCCAAGAAGCACGGTGAATTCGAACTTGTTGGTACCTAATAGTAGGCTGCCAGCTGCTCACCTCGGGCACCACCCAATTAGCGGTGGGCGGTCAAGCTTCAAGGGTCCTTTCTTTGTCTAGGTAGATCACGAACAAAATCGTGCCGACACATGCCGATCTTTTTTTTATACAACATCATAACCACGGCCCTTGGGTCGATACAGCAATGGTATGGCCATTTGGATCGCGGAATTCCCACAAGGAAAATGAGGAGAGACTCAGAGAAGAGGCGAAGCGGTTGCCGGTATCATGGACGGATACAATAACCCGTTTTAGATCAGACACTTTCGGTGCTGCAAAAGACTGGGCTCCTATGGTGGTATTCCCTCTCGCAGGCATGGCAGCTCTGCAGATTTACGCAAACTACCTACGCCGAATACCCGGGACAGCATATGTGCGGCCCAACTTCTATCGCAATCGAAGTCTCTTTGGTCGGGTCACTAGTGTTGGCGATGGCGACAACTTCCACCTCTTTCACACACCTGGTGGGCGAGCTTTTGGCTGGGGTTGGTTGAGAAGAGTTCCTGATGTGCGCAAAGAGTTGAAGGATCGAACGGTATGTCTGCAGTTGCCAAAAGCTTTGGTCTTATTCATACTAACCAAATTACTTCACAGATCCCAATTCGCATTGCCGGTGTCGACGCACCAGAATGCGCCCACTTCGGACGACCAGCCCAACCATTCTCCGCCGAAGCCCTTGCGTGGCTGCGTAGCTACCTCCTCAAACGCAATGTTAGAGCATACATCTACAAACGGGACCAGTACGATCGAATTGTGGCGACAGTATACACGCGGCGGTGGCTGTTGCGAAGGGATGTGGGCCTGGAGATGATCAAGGCCGGTATGGCGACGACATACGAAGCCAAGCAGGGGGCCGAGTTCGGCGGAAGGCAAAAGCTATACGAGAAGGCTCAAGCCAAAGCAAAGCAGAAGCGCAAGGGAATGTGGTCCGGCAAGGCTAAAGATTTCGAGAGTCCAAGAGCTTACAAGGCCAAGTGGGCTGGGTCTGAGAAGACCGGTGCTTGAGGATGTCGAGTATGAGTTATGACTATTCCAAAATTCCAAAACTGTGGCTTGGTCATATTTGGGTTGCATTATAGAGATATCCTATCAAGAAAGAAAAGCATGACAGGAAGGCATTTAGATGGGATTTATGATTATGGCAAAGATTTGTTTAATCCAGCACTGTCTCCCAGCTTATTGTGTCGTCAGAATATTAACAAGGCTTAGTCTGGGTAGATCTTTTGAGACATCTGATAGGCCTCCGTTGTCACGAGACAATTATCGAGATAAGGACGAACAATAATGACACAAAGCCTGGCATCAACCATGAACGTATCAATTCTAGGGTAGTTTTGAGTCAATCGATGTCTGACACGTTTGCGGGCATTGGCATAGCCGGTGCCAGAGACCGTTACTGCAACAAAAACCACCAGGGTCTTAAGCAAGGGGTTTGCCAGGACGATCCAGAGTCGTTTCAGATAAACTGTAGCTTGGTGTTTGGTAGTGTAAAACATGAGCCAAGAAGGCTACGAGCAACCACATTAACGCGAGTGTGTCATACTGTGGTAAGTTTCCTATTAGTTATATAAATATACACATGTGATTGTTAGCATGACAGACTAGGTACACTTTATAATATTTATGCAGTCTACGGCGCAACTCGCCTGCTAAACCATGCTTCATACGTATCTACAGCACTGCCCTCATGCAAAGATCCATAGCTCGAGTTCTATAAATATGCCTTGACCCCGTAAACCCACGAGCCTCTAAAAGAAAACCGCCATGTAAAATGACAGAATTATCAGCAGCGAAATGGATAAAACATTCACCAACTGCTCGCATTCGTCACTCGCTCGCTGAGGCAATGCGTAAAAGACCAAAGCTCTATTATCCAGCGATGAATGACAGTAATAACAATACATAACAGGGTGTGACACGGCAAAGTTAAGTGCCCCTGCCTTGTGCTCCCAACCTCCTGAATTTAGCGCTGTGTGGTAGAAACAATACTTTAGACGGTAGCCATACTAGACGCTGCATTACCTGTAGATCTTTTATTGTCAGGTTAATAAGGGTCATCCTTTCAGACCTTAGGAACAACGCGCAAGCCACGAATCGGACATGGGTATAGCTTCATTGCACTCAGAGGTCAGAAGCCAGAGGTTAGTTGACTTAGTGACAACTCGGTAGTTAACAATGAGTATAGATAGCTCGAATCAATCTGCACAGCGCATAACAATGGCTTATTTAGTGCACTTAATGAATGTTTGTGTAAATGAAGTTATATAAGTTAGCAAGTGCTCTTGTCCAATCCATGGTGGTTTCCCGGCAGGTTTGCGGCGGGAGCACAAATAAGCTCCACTCATCCCCTGGAACAAGCCAAGCCAAGCCACGGCTCGGGGAATCAGCTCTTCCCTCTCTCCTAATTCTCACCTCATCCTCCACGAGAATTCTTAAGCTGAGAGAGGAGGGGATCCTTACTATTGCATTGCCTCGCCTTGCAACCTGTCACTCGTTATACTCGATTCTTCTTCTTCTACTACTTCTTTCTATTGTTTTGTTTTTTTCAGCTCAGCTCAACTCAGCCTCACCTTGTGTGTTATATACGTAATACACCGCTCGCGTCAACTCGACAATACTCAGTTACCGACCAACATACTGACACCCGGTATTCGCACTCATTTAATACCGCTTCTTCTTCTATCTCAATTCGTTACCGTCCTTCCGTCAAATTGCAGCAACCCGAGCTATCCCAACCACTTTGTGCAGCCTCAATTCTGCATTCCAACGGTTGTCGACCCGGAGACACGATATCTGTCCCTCATTCTTTCCGTCACCCAGCTTAAATACCTGCCTGGTCCACGGACGCGTGCCTTGAAGACACTGGACGCGAAAGCACCAGAGGCATATTGTTACGCCGCATTTCAACGCGGTATAATCACAAATAAATTCACAATCATCAATTCGATAGATCTTTGACGCCCACGAGATCTCCTGATACGAGGACGAAGCTCGCCGATAATCAAACTCTGGGTTGCTCCTCTCGACCTTATTGGTGTTCAGTTCATCAAAGTGGCGCCCTAGCCCGTGGCTGTGATACGTACCACGGTTGTACATCTTGAAACCACACGGTTAGGTACGTTCTTTTCTTAGCTTCTATTTCCATTTCAGAAAGGTCTCTCTGCTTCCAAAATTGCTCGCTCAATTGGCTTCGCTCGCAATCAACCCATCACCCTTGGTTATTACCCTTCTATTCTACCATTACGACGCTGTTATTTCGGCTGTTGCGTGCTTGTTTGTCATCATCCTATATTTATGCACCCAACTGTACTTCAGGTGTTGCATTACAGCGGAAATATGGGTCTAGCCCAGTCAGGCTAGTGGCCAGATCCTGGAAATCCAATGCAAGCCTTGACAACGGACATCGCCATCGCTAGCAATTTCCCGCGGACGTGCTGCACAGCATTGCCTGTCGCTCAACTTGAATCCTGCAAACCACGACTTTTGATTCTGACTGCGCATGTTCGACGACTTTGCAACAAACAATCTCGATCACTGGGAATTGCACACATTATCTGAATCACATCCCTCTGACATTTTCCAGCTTTTCCCACTCAGTTGTTTTCCATTAGCGCACCTCAATCCGCAACGCTCCCGCTCTCTCGACCGTTAGAAAACGCGATTTCTCGCCCCTTGATATGGTCCATTTTTAATACTGCGATGCATGCACGAACAAAATCAGCTCCGACGACTCCCAAACGGTTCGATTTCTCAGTGCGAACATATTCAGCGGCGAACCGATAATTGCGAAACTGCGAGATCCAGCGAGAATTAATAGTTATGCGATCACCTTTTCAACGGCGTGGCCCTTCGGCTCGCCAAAGCCATAGCCTAGGCCCCGTTTTGGGTCCCAGCCTTATGGCTTTAGCAGCTTTGGCGCCTTCTTTAACACAAGCCATTACATTCAACTCAATACCTTCGCCAAATCTAGACTTTTCGAACTTGGGCAGGATCGGCATAGTTGGTGATTATGATGGTATATCACTTTACGAGTATGAGGGACAGAACGAGAGCCCTCGTAACTCGAACGGAAGCGAGTCGCTTCTGGCTCAGATGCCTAACGGTGCTTTCGCTCCGATAATATCCAGCGACGCCTCGATTAGAGCCATGTGCTCGTTCCAGCTTAGTAATGGAGAAATGCAAGGAGTGGTAATAGGCGGTAATTTCACGAGTTTGGACGGCACACAGTCAAAGGCGGTTGCGATATTCAACCCCAACACGACCGAGATCACTCCGCTGGATGGAATCGAGGGTGAAGTCAACGCTCTGTACTGCGACCAGGAACGAGACACTGTCTATGTGGGTGGTAATTTTAAGGGTGCTAACTCCACCAACGCGATCGCCTGGGTTGGTACAGATGGATGGACAAACTTACCGTTCGCCGGTTTCAATGGTCCCGTCAAGGCCATCACAAAAGCTTCTAACGGGCATATCATCTTTGGTGGCACTTTCACAGGTTTAGGAAACTCGAGCGCACCCAGCCAGTCAGCCAGTCAAGTTATCAACCTTTCTACAGCGAACATTACGGATGATAATGGCTCTTCGGAAACCGATCCCAAGGACATTGTCTGTCCCGGATCGAAGTCGAGTCCTTGGCTATTGCAAGACGACACAGCTGGATACTGGGAAGCCGATTTCGGCTTCGGCTTCGCACCTACCAAGCTCAGGCTTCGCAATACACAGCAGGATGGCCGCGGCACCAAGACCTTTCGTTTCGTCGCTTATCCTATCGATGGTATCATGAACTTGACATATGTCGACCCAAACAGCGGCAGTAACGTCACTTGCACTAGCGAGTGTCCACTTCCCGAGGGCGACGATTATCAGGATTTCACCTTTGTCAACCGTGTTGGTATGAACAGGTTTCGTCTCGCCGTTTCCGAATGGTACGGCAAAGGAGGTGGTCTTCAAAGTATCGAGCTGTTCCAGAGCGACATCTATGCTTATGCAATCTCTGACTTCAATGAGCCAAAGTGTGGTGGAGTTAAGAGCCCAGCTTCAGCTACCCACACTGGTCCTTGGAAGGTCTCTCCATCCTTGGAAAGCAGTTCTAAGTATCTAACTGCCGAACTTGATGGCGACTACGATCCCGAATCTGTCTCCGTTACTTTCTATCCTAACATTATAGAATCTGGCAACTACTCTGTTAATATTTACACACCAGGTTGTCAAGCTGACGAGACTTGCGAGACCAGAGGTCGTGTGAATGTTACCGGAATCATGTCAGGCGATGATGACAAGGATACTAATTTCACTTCGACATTATATCAGACCAATTACTTTGACAAGTATGATCAGATCTATTTCGGATATATTGAGAAGAACTCGGGCTCTTTCAAGCCTTCTGTCACTCTTCGTCCCCTTGCTGGTCAAGATGTTGACACTCTTACTATTGTTGCTCAGCGAGTCGAGTTCACTCTCACCAATTCCACTGGTGGTCTGAACGGCCTGTTTGACTTCGATCCTGATCAGGCAGTTGTCAACGCTTCAAGTCTCATGAACTCACCAATCAACAAACTCGGCTCCAGTTTCGACAAAGCCTCCGGTGTGAGTATTCTGGTTACGGACAGCAATACTACCTACGTTGGCGGTAACTTCACCTCCAAAGATCACGACAACATCCTCGCTATTATCGAAAATGACGATGTCAAGGAACCTGGTGGCGGCTTGAATGGCGAGGTCTTTGCCATGTATCTCAACGATACACAACTCTACGTTGGTGGTGACTTTTCTAATACCGAGAATGGACCCGTGACTGGCTTGGATAACATAGCTGTTTACGACACTAAGGAGGACAAGTGGAACGCATTGGGAGCGGGCCTTGACGGTCCTGTCAAGTACGCTGTGCCTTTAATGATCAACATCACCGCGGATACGCCCGAATTGGTCATTGCATTCACCGGCGAGTTCACCTCATGCAACGCCTTTGACGATTTCAAGGCCCTCTCAGTCGATGGATTCGCTATTTGGGTTGCATCCAAGGCCAACTGGCTGCAAAACCTTGATGGCAACTATCCTGCTTTCAGTGGATCACTCACAGCTGCTGCTCTCGACGTCCCTATGGATGGCGGTTCTTTCTACGCCGGTGCGCTCTCGTCTGCACAACTCGGTATAAACGGCGCTGCCACCCTCTCCGACGAGGGACTTGGCCAGTTCCCTCTCAAGATCCGAACACCTTCGCCGTCGTCCAACTCCTCTGCTCTGAGTCGTCGAGATGTTACTTCGTTCAACAAGAACACCACTGGTGTAGTAACGGGTATCTTTTACGATGATAACGACTACAACATCACTGTTCTCGCAGGCCACTTTACGACCGAGTCGACAAAGGGCGAAGAGATCCAGAACATCGTTCTCCTTGAGGAGGACACTGTCATTGGACTTGGCTCCGATATCTCGAACAGTTCCACCTTCGTCGCTCTCGCTGTCCGTGAAGGTGTCCTGTTTGCCGGTGGTGACATTAGTGGCACAATTGACGAAACTGAGATCCGTGGTCTCGTCTCCTACAATCTGGAATCGAAATCCTTCAACTCGCAGCCACCATCCGTATCGGGAGCAAACAGTACTGTCGCTGCTATCGCCGTTCGTCCCGGCGACTCTGGTGACATTTACGTTGGCGGCTCGTTCGACACTGCAGGTGCCTTGGACTGCCCTGGTCTCTGTACCTACAACGTCAACTCGGGCCAATGGAACCGTCCAGGCAGTGAGCTCGAGGGCACCGTCTACAGTCTACTATGGCTGAGCAAAAACCAGTTGGTTGTAGGTGGTGAGCTTGGTGGTAATGGGTCTGATCAACGTTCCCTCGCCAGCTGGGACGCCAACTCGGAGTCCTGGTCCAACTTTCCTGGCTCTGAGGACATCCATGGCCCTGTTACAGTCATATCCCCTGGATCTAGTGACAACGACCAGCTCTGGGTGTCGGGCACTTCTCTCAAGGACGATTCGGTCTTCGTCATGAAGTACGATGGCGAGAAGTGGCATACGGTTAAACCCTCCCTATCCTCAGGCACTATCATCCGCGGCCTACAGGTCTTTTCTGTGACTGAGAATCACGAAGACTCTGACACGTTGGATAAGAACCAGGTCTTGATGCTGACAGGTTCTATCGACATTCCCGACTTTGGGGTGACCTCGGCAGCTATCTTCAACGGCACAGCTTACCAACCATACGCTTTGACGATTAAGGCAGGTGACGGCCCGGGTACCATCGCCAGCATATTCTCTCAGAGGGATAGTTTCTTTACAGAAGGTCAGTCCCCCCCCTTTCATAATATTCGATTGAGTAGCACTAACTCTATCCTCAGAGAAGCGCATGGCTTTGGGCTTTGTTGTCCTTATCGGCCTAGGTATCGCACTTGGACTGATGCTTCTTCTCGTCCTTTGCGGTATTATTCTAGACCGCATCCGCAAGAAGCGCGAGGGTTATGCTCCTGCTCCTACTTCCATGTATGATCGAGGCAGTGGGATGCGACATATCCCACCTCACGAGCTCCTCGAGTCTCTTGGCCACGGCCGAGGTGGTGCGGCACCGCGCGTCTAAAAGAAACAAAAAGAACAAAGATTCCTAATCCTCGGGAATGTCGTCGTTTTAGCAAGCTGCATACATGTCTGATTTGATATACCTTGGGCGTTTTGGAAAGGTTAATGGGAGTATTTTCGGACTAAGGAAGTCCAATTACTATTTTCGGAAACGGGGATCTAATACTGAGATCCCAGCGCGAGCATATGGGCCCTGACTCATATAGTTGAGGACGGATTGTTCAGAAGCTTAGGCTTAAAACTATACCCCTACTTCGGCTGGATCCTGGAGAGGGCACCCCCAACAGCAACTAGTTCACCTCGATCTCGCGAGGCCGCTCTCCCTCTTCCTCACTACTCTTCTATTGTTTCTCCTTTTTTCCCCTTCTTCTTCTTCACTTCATGAGGTCATGACCCATCGGTTAATGTTTACCTGTCTGTTCTTTCTCTTCGACAATCGTGCATAGATGCCCCTTGTTTGCAGAGACATTCTTGTTGCCTCTTTTCACTGTACATAACCTTCTTCAGGGCAGTCTCCACCCCCAAGACTGCTGAGGACCCGAGGCCTTGTGTCTATCTTCCTCTTCAATAGTCCCATTATCATGAAGGTTTAAAAGGAAAAGGGTTGAGATAATTGAGAGTTCGGAGTGATTATATTGCGGCTCTAGTTGAGGATGATTTGGTCGGTGGCACTATGGTTAGAGGGGCCTATCTAGCATTAGCTGAAGTGATACTACATTCGGCTCACTTTGAGTATCTTCATCTGGACAGTGATAGTATTCCATGCGTCTATATATTAACAGCCGCTCGCTCCGACTGGAAATCTGGGTATCGCGAGTGTTGTGGCGTAGCAACCCTCTAGGAGTAGATACTCTATCTTCTCAATGGGTATCGCGAGTGTTGTGGCGTAGCAATCCTCTAGGAGTAGAGACTCTATCTTCTCAACATCGCATTGGACAACAACTTTTAGGCATATGCTGAGCGAGTTGCCCACGATGACTGTCATTCTTCGGCAGTTCAACATGGCATGATGCTGGTTCATTGTCGACGCATCTTGTGGGCGACAATGCAGGTTTGACAATTGCTGCGAGGGTGCTCCTTGTCCAGGCACTGTCACGCTACGGTTCAAACGTCAAGGCTCAAGCCTCATTTAAAACGGGAATTCATGGTCTGGGGTTGTTCTATCTGAACTTTGTAGAATGGACCCTCGTTTCAGAGTTCATCCTGCTGCACGGCTTTCCCACGTTAACTCAAACAAACAGTGCTGTTGATAAGGAAGTATGCATGTGTGCATCGCATACCCTAGACCATGACAACAAGAAACCTGCCCCGGTCGGCCTCAGCTTCCTGTCAGATTATCTCACAGGCATGGGACCACGGGCAAACAGGCGCCCCAGGCGCTCTGAACCGCCATGTCACGCATCTATGTCACATGGGTTCTGACAACCATATCCCTTCTGCCTTTCCCTTGCTCTCCTGTAATACACCATCGTGGAGATGGAATGTCTCGTCTCGGTGGCTTCTGAAAGTCTCGGTCTCAGAAATATCCACAGCAACGTCGAGAGTTACACTGGCATCTGATGTGATGTGATGTGATGTGACCTGTAGAGTATGCACGCCTTTGAAGCTGTGATATGTGCTGGTGTCTGATGCCAAGGAAACTCTGTGCCTGCCTACCTGTTGGGCGGATTGGGTATAATTGCGCTCACTGAGGATATCGTCGCTGTTGACGCCATGACCGGAAGCATAGAACCGGCTGTGATGCAATGCTGACTGACCTAGGAACAAGTGATGGACAACTGCACAGGTTCAGAATAAACAATGACAACCACTGCCACCACCACCAACAATAAGGCGTAAACAACAGAAAGTAGCCTTGTCCTCAGTCTAGCGGATCGATGACGCTGCAGACATGCCTCTTCACCCCGCCGCAGGCCTTCGTTCGTGTCAAGCGGTACTGTAGGTCAAGAGGTTGGCGGCTGGCGGTTGGTCCCCTGCAGAGCAGGATTCCACTGGTCAACACCAACCAAAATGGATCATGCTCCATGACGCAAAAGCTGTCACTGCCGTCCCTTCTGTATTTTTCTTCGTCAAGCGCCGGCCGAAAGCTGCGAAGACGGATGCAGTCCGACAAACCAACCGAATCGCGGAGCACAAAAAAAAAGACCAATAGGCGCCGCCACAACATCATTAGCAACACCCAACGGTGCATGGCTATTGTAGCGGAGGCACACATACCGTAAAGCATAAGACGCTGTACCAATGTAAAGTCATTGTACATGAGCTTGCAACACGGGAAACTCTGTGCCAGTGTGGCAGCTCCTGCGGCAACCACGTTGATGGTCAGCGAGCAGAAGCCAAGACAATAGCCCTTTGATCTTGATGTAGCGCAACAGTGGACGACGTACTTCGCAGGACCATCAATTGGCAAATAAACGCAGTGCAGGGGACACAACCAGCGGCAATGATGGGTGAGATAGTGTGGAGTTCAAGTCAACTATGCAAGATAGAGTAATTACTCTCGTCTGTGATTGTTCTACCGCTGGCACCGCGCACAGTACATGCATAGCTGCCCATCGAATGATGGCAATCAATGGAAATCCCATACATGCTGCCATGTCTGCGATATGCTGTATACAGCATTGACGTATTGATTCGACTGGAAACATGGCGTTCCGAGAAAGCTAAAGAGCCAGTCAATACAGCCGTTCCGTTTGCAGGTCTCAGCGATTTTGCGGGTGTATTTGCCCACTGTCTTCTGTGAGAGACGCCAACTAAGGTTGATGGCCTCGACAACAAAGTTGAGCAGAAAAGAGCAGACCAGACCAGACCCTGGGATGGATGTTTGCAGGGGCGATATCGAGAGTCAAGAGATGGCTCTGCAGAGGCATGACATGACACGGACGTGCCACTAGCTTGGATTGCGTCTTAGTTGAGGTCTTGGATCTTGACTCCTGAGGGCACACTCCCATGTTATCGAGGCCAAATGATTCAGCCAAAAAGTGACGGGTCCTTCTTGTCAACATGTACCGGGGCAGACAATGGGGGAGCAGTGGGACCCCGGCACTGAGTCGATAGCGCGCTTCTGCATCTCAAGCACCGAACGAACCAAACCAGGAGAGACAAGGCGGGAGGCGCGCAGGGGTTGGTCAAGTACCGTGCCGTGTGATACGTGAGGTAAAGGCGAGCTAAGGCAAATTGAATGGATCCTGGCAGAGCAAAAGATCCTGACAAGACAAGACCCCAGCAACAACACGACTCTCTCCCAACAAGGTTTTGCTAGGACAGACTGAGAGAACCTTGGCCTGCCAGGCCTGTCCCCTCCCCAAGGACCTAGGGCCAAAGGATGTCGATGCCATTGAGACTATCGCTCATCAATCTCTAGTTTTGCGGTAGCCCTGCTCAACCTCGTCCAGTCAGTCAGTAGCCCAGCTTAGCCTCGTATGTTCACCAGCTGAAGGGCCCCTTCTTTTTCATCATGTATCAGGCCCTGCCCAGATGGCGTTCAAGAACTTGCCTTTTCGGGTCACGTTCTAACGACAAGAGACGCTAAAGAAAACAACGTTGCGTCTGCCGTTGTATTCTGAATCTACGTACCATCGCCCTTCAGGCGCTAGAATTTGAGGCTACCTACCAGGGTAGCAGGGGCTTCGTCTAGGCACCGGGAATATCCAATACTGTATGTATGTATTGGATGTATCTGTGCTTCGATGAGACAGTTGATGCTCAACACAGCATGATCTCTGCGGCCTTGTTTGCCTGATGCTGATCAATTCTACCCGAGTACCTGGGAGCCCGGAGCCCCTTTGCCTTTTGCCTTTTGCCATGGTCCCGCTCCAGAGTCAAGGTTCGACAGCAGTGCCATGACGGACGGCAATCCGAGTGGTCATGAGCTTCAACTTTGCTCCTCAGATGAACCACGGGCGCCTTCTCGCGCACGGCTACCAGGGAGTTGGACTTCTCCTCTCGTCCAACTGCGTGAATCGGAGCCCCTCTCTTTGAGATTTCTCCTCTCCTTGAAGAATGATTGAAATTTCCGCGTCAGCTAAACCGCAACAGTTGAATCAATCCAATCCTTGGCTCTTGAGGGTCAAAAAGCCCAACTGGGTCTTCAGTCTGTGCTCCTCAGGGACCTGTCTGACGACCCGCTATCGGGATGCCGAAAACGCTCATAGTTGTCCCCACAACATGTTTGGCTCCAAGGTCTTCATTACGATCAATTTCACCCGTCTCTGGAGGGCAGGGCGGCTCCTGTTTGACTCGTGCTTGTGTTCTGCTTCTTCTCTCCGTGGCGCCGGCTTTGCTGTCTGCCGAACTGCTAGTTGTGCGCCAAACATGCACCGGCTACCGCTCGCCCCACAGATATGTCCCATCCAGTACACGTGTGGCTGTATCTAATTGCTTGCCCCGTCGCCGGCTCGAGTTTACTCCGTACGCACCGGCCGAGAGTACTTAGTAGACTGGGGAATGGAAGTTGAGTCCTGCCTGAGGGGCTCTGCGCCAGTGGTACCTGGCTACGGTACAATGTCATCGGAGGCTCCTCTTGTGTTACATGGGGCTAGGGTTGTTGCGAATCATAAGGAATGGGCGGGATACTGCGGAATATATTCCTTGAGATTTTCCTCTAGGAGATTACTTAGATGTCGCCAGATCGAATAGGCCAGGGGCATGTCTTGGCAGCGGATTGAATGCTCCCCAAAAAATGCTGGGGAAGATGAGCATCACTCCTCGATCAAGTAACTCATGAGGTCCATTTTATCTTAGCTCAGCTGTTGATAGTCAGATAGTTAATACCACAATACGCAGTGTGGTAGTGAGTACCCAGTAGAATGGTTCACGGATCATTGATCGTGAAGATCACCACTGCGCCGGTGCCCTTCACACGTGTCGCATGGACTGAACTTCAGTTCGTCGACCATTGCCACGGGTTCTGAAAACCAACAAAGTAAGATCTACATGCCACGATCTGGGGTGACTCGAAGTTACTGTCATCACCCAAGGCCAAGGTTGTAAGATTTTCGT